TTGGGGTGTTTTAGAAATGTAGGCATGAGGATGTTTTTTTGAGGCGTAATATGCACTTCCCAAAGAGGTCTTATAGGAGGATATTGAAAGTACTGTTTTCGTTCTTTTGTGCCCTTTCTTTGTTTGCCCCACCACAACGTCTCATGATTACGTCACAATACGAAGAATTCTGATTTGTTTTCGATTTTGTTCTTCTTGTTCGCAATTGGCATTCGCGTTTGCAGCGTGTCACGCTTACATCACGCTGCTAACGAACAGAAAGGAATTTGGTGAAGTTAATTATGTTAGAAGACTTATTTAGTTTGTAATAATGACCATCAGATGCAAGATGTGTTGTTCGGTGCCTCAGTGTAATCAATATATAAAAGTACGAATTTATCAATACACAGCTTCTCCGCGGTTGCAAAATTATGCATTGTTGAGAACATTTCAAAAATTGGTGTAGTGAGCACTACTCAGAAACCGATTAAGAAGGTAATTTCATATCAAGAAAATATTTTTATGTTCAATCTATTTTTAATGCATTTTTTCATCCAAGGGAAATGGAATCCTAATGCAAAAGTTCATTTTGACAAATGGCTTCAAAAAAGTACCTCGAAAATGGTTTTTTGACAGCGATTTGATGTGCGCAAGACGCGTTGAAAATGTTTTGTTGTGTCCATGAAAATGCTTTAAAAAGAACTAGGGAGAAGTTAGTTTTGTGACATATCAAGGACATCTCGATAATTGCCGCCTGCGGCGGACATTGGCTGTTCTATAATAGTTCTATTCATGTGTGAACAGAACATCGCAGTGGAGGTTCAATGTCTCGAAATCTCGTACTTTCAACATCTCTGAGATTTTTTATTCCTAACCGAAAAATTTTTTATCGTCCTGTCAAGTTTGTAAATAAAAATATGTCTCGCACTAGGTCGCCTACTAGGTTTTCATTTAGATCGACAATGACCTAACTATATGCCGTTCGGAAAGTTTCGAAATTTCAAGTATGAGTTATGTTCCTGAAGCCAGACCTGTCTATGGAGACAATGTCATGACATCCAGAAGGCAGAGTCAGCTCCCTAGCGGACTTCATCTTAGCTGAATATTTTTTTACCGCAACTTATCTTGGAAATCCATAAAAAAACTTCACAAACAATGAGATTTTCACAAAATTCCTAATCACACGACATGTTTCGCTAACACAGTAGCTTCATCAGGTGAATTACTGGTACAATGAAATAAACCAAGCTAGGCTTGCCCAACTTATATTATATATCCTACTTTGCCGACCCGAAGGATTAGAATTACCTGTGGAAAGGTTCGATAAACCTTCATTAGGCAATTAGGCACAATATCTACTTACATTAAAATACGGTGTACCGGATTAACTCGAAAGGGTTGATAGCAAATACCACTAGTTTTTATATGCCAGAAAAAGGTAGTGAGGATAATTTTCGATTTGAAGATAGATGGCTCATGCCGGGGAATATTTAAAAAAAAACAACATGTTAACTGTACCAGTCTTGTTTATTTATGAGGCTATTAAATTCCAGACCACATATGAAATTCACTTCAGCAGTCACAAAATGAATCATGAACATAACACGAGACTGAAAAACAACTATAGTTACCCAATCCACAAAAAGTGTATTTTCGAAACAAGTCCACTGTATAATGCAATAAAATTTTATAACAATCTTCCGGATGAGATAAAAGCTATGCAAAATTCCAAAAGATTCCTTGGCTCGGTACGGAATTACTTACTCAGTATGGAGCCATACTCAGTCAGTGATTATTTTTAATCTGTGGTAATGTTTTATTTCTATGAACTATTCTGAGAACACAGCCCATTAGAAAGCTGAAAATTGAATTGAAAAACCTGCTTTTCAAAAAAGCATATTATACACTTGACGATAGTATTTCACAGATACATTAGAGTAGATATTTAGTAATTTCTAGCACACTGTTTCACTTTATATATAATTTATAGTGATTTTATGACTGTGATAACACCCTTATCCAATTTTTTGCTTGTTTTTTTTCACCTTTAGATGTAGACAATGAGTGATTCATCACCAAGCTTATTTATATACTTACATTTTCTTCTGTTTTTAATGTAGGTATGATATTCATGATTTCAATTCATTGTTTTTTTTTATTATTATTATTATTATTTGAGTTCATATGATTCCAGTCACGACCCTGCGGCCTCCGACGTCACGCAGAGTCGTGCTGGATAAAATCCAGTGACTACTCCTCACAGCCCGTGAGGTGAGTAATCACTGGGACCAAGTACCGTGTGCCCTAAGTAGACGCAATGATCCTAGTATGACGGCCTTCTGCATTCCACCAGCCAGGATGTGTGCCTTATCACGGCAAGCTGGGATTTTCTGGATCTCCGAGAGCAGCGTGTGTCGTGTGCCTCCTAGGGAGCCGATTATCAGGATGACCAATTCCACAGAATGGTCTGGATAGAGCCGGCGGAGTTCGAAGAGAAGATCTCGATATTTAGTCCGTTTTTCCTCCTCCTTCAAAGCGATGTTCGGTTCGGCTGGCGCCGAAAACTCGATCACGAACATCGCTTTGGTTTGATGGTCGAGGAGGACTACATCAGGCTTGTTAGCTTGTATCTGCCTGAGGGTGGGGAATGAGAAGTTCCAATAAATTCGGCACCTCTCATTCTCCACAACGGACTCAATATCCCCCGGAGCATAGGGCAGCACTGGGGTCTCGTCTATTCCGTACGAGTGCCTCAAGTGATAATAGAGCACTCGCAATGCCGCATTGTGTCTATGGATATAGGCCGAGACTGCATACACCGTGCAAGAAGACAGCAGGTGCATAATTGTCTCGAGCGCCCTGCGGCAGGCCCTGCAATTTGTGTCAGGGACCTCCATACCCATGACACGGCTACGGTTATTATTATTATCATTATTATTATTATTATTATTATTATTATTATTATATACTTGATCATATTGACATGTTCTACACCTGAAAAGGTATTATAAAGGAACTAATAAAGGATATCTATCTATCTATCTATCTATCTATGCTTATTTTTTTATGAAATGTTTATACTAGATTTCAAACTGTATGTATGTGACTTATTACTTCTCAGACTTCTATGTAGAAATGAATAAATTATCTATCTATCTATCTATATATTACCTACCAAGAAAACAAATTCAACAGTGGTGAACTATTGAGGTCTAGTTGATCGTTAAGTAACATGTAGAATTTCGAAATTATCATCAAAACTTTGGTTTCCTTATAATATATGGTTGGCGTATGTTGATTTGTTTTTCTGGAAATGCCTCTTCCCAATGAGTCAATCTGGTACACGAATGGCTGGGCAGTTCAGGTGCAGGTGTATACAATGAAGGAACAGAGGAAGAGAGATCTCGCTTCCTTTGGGCGAATATGTCTCAGTGTTCCAGGCTGAAGTACTTGCAATACTCACTTGTGTTCAAGAAAACCTGATCATGAAAGGTCGAAGACCAATCACTATATGCTCGGACAGCAAAGCTGCAATACTGGCTTTGCGATTCAATAGGATCACAACCAATGTTTTTTTATTGCTTGGAGCGCACGAGAGGAAATCACTATAATGTTCGAAGAACATCGTGCGTTCCTAGGGAGGATAGGGACAGGAGGTAGGTAATGAAATTTTTTTGAACTTCTGGAGATTATACAGGGTGATTCAAAAGTAAGCGGCATCCTTTCAGAGGCGTATTCCTTGCTTGAAAATAAGGCAAAAAGTTCCTATTGATAAGGATCCGAAAATGCTTCCTAAGGGAGCTACGGCCCTTTGAATAGGACACCTCAAAGACGGTTTTTTCTCTATAACTTTAAAATCCTTCACAACAAATTTTTAAAAATTGGTGTACGGCATAAACATTCGATGGTAAATAGGACTCCGTATTCGAAATTTCAGAATTTCATTCAGGGGCGTCACATGCGGGAGAGGGTAAGTGTAAAAATATCCCTTCTTCTCCGGATATTCAGGTTACTGTGATTTCGTTTGGAAATTATTTCGAATACGGAGTCCTATTTACCATCGAATGTTTATGCCGTACACCAATTTTTAAAAATTTGTTGTGAAGGATTTTAAAGTTATAGAGAAAAAACCGTCTTTGAGGTGTCCTATTCAAAGGGCCGTAGCTCCCTTAGGAAGCATTTTCGGATCCTTATCAATAGGAACTTTTTGCCTTATTTTCATGCAAGGAATACGCCTCTGAAAGGATGCCGCTTACTTTTGAATCACCCTGTATGTTGTTGGGAATACTTCCTCAGGCAATGAATTCCAGAGCCTAGCCGTTCTATGGATGAAGGAGTTTTGATAAAGTGCTGTTCGACATCTTTCGAGGTTGACAACGAAAGGATATATGCTGACTGGGCTCGTCTAGTTCGTCTGGCTGGTATTGCTAGTGTAGGGATGATAGCATATATTTCCGAAGAACATTTCCCATGAAAGTTTCGATAGAAAAGTGAAAGGTCGCCGACCTTTCTACGGTCTTCCAATGACGTCAAAGAGTGAGTGAGTGTGGCGTCACCCACCAGGCGAATGGCTCTTCTCTGGATGGAATCTAAGAGCATCAGCGTTTGTTTTGGTGCTGAACCCCATATGTGGGAACAGTATTCTAGAACAGGCCCTATCTGCGCTTTGTAGATCATGAAAAGCTGTTGTGGTGTAAAGTGGCTTTTCGCACGGAACAAGAATCCTAGTTTTTGTGAAGCAGCTTTTGCGATGGATCTGACATGATTATCCCATGAAAGAGTGTTGCTGATGGAAATACCGAGCATAGATATAGTGGGCTTGGTGGGTATGGTCGTGCCATACATTACAATATCGATTGAGGGTTGCTGGGCTGTGTGCACGCCGTGTATATATACCTAAGAAGGGAAGATTTTTATTTCGTGCAAGATACTGTTAAGTCATAATCAGTGCATACCTGTAAGTAAGTAATCTGCTTTCAGCTATTCAATTTCTTTCCAATAGCTAAAAGCAGATAACTTACTTACAGGTATGCACTGAAATCAACTAGGTTGTTGAGTCCCCAGGCTGTGATTTCAGCAAAGTCTTCATTGACAGCACTGACCTGCCTGCGCCGTGAGTTCTTAGTTTCCTGGGAAGAAATGGGAATTCTGGAAGAAAACGCAGTATGGAGGGTACCATCATCTGCAAAACTGTGGATGGGGAAATTTGTTACTCCCAACCGATCATTGATATAAAGAAAGTATAATGTTGGTGCCAAAATTGATCTTTGTGGAACGCCGGAAATGATGCCAATGGTATCAGATGATACACCGTGCACCACCACGTGAAGCGATCTGCCTGAAAGAAAACTGGATAAGAGATGGCATAGCTAAGGTGGTAATGGTAGTTTGTGGAGGCGTCCTTCGTGTCAAACACGGTCGAATGCTTTCGTGCTTTCGTGTCCGAGTGCAGAAACTCCTCGGAAAACCTGTCAAAATCAAGAAAAGTACTCCGGAAACAAGGCAGACAGACTGGCCAAGATCAGTTTAGGGCGGACCCCGGTCAGACAGACCGGAACCAATCTTGGAAATACCAAACACCCTGAAAATGCTCTTCATAGATGGATAGCTGAAAAACCAATTCCTCAAAATATGGCAGGACACACCAGGAATGAGACAATCGAAACTCCACATAAAGGAACCTTGGAAGAGGCTCACAAAAGAGGTATCATCTCTCAACAGGCGAGACCTTAAAATGATAGTGGATCTCCTAACGGGGCACAACAACCTCAATATGCACTTAAACCTTATTGGGATCGAAGATCATTTCCTTTCAAATTCAAATTCAAATTCACTGCATTTTCCTTTTTGAACAGCAAGTACACTGTATTAGGTTCGTCATACGTTAATACATAATGAAGTATGAATGAATAAATGATGAATGAATAAATGATGGATGAGAGAATGAAGCTACAAAAAAAAATATGGATACAATTAAAAGTAAAAGTAGAGACATAGATACATATCAGAGGAGGGCATCTCTGCTCTTCATAAGTATAAGGAAATCTTCCACATTGTAGAGAGGATTCGCTGTTAAAAAATTTTTCAGCTTTGTTTTGAACAAGTTGAATCTCAAGTCACGAAAATCAGAGGGCAATGAATTAAAAAGCTTGACACCTATGTCATCACAACTTTTTAAGCGTGTGAGGGGCAGTATCAAATTGTTGTTTTTCCTGGTGTTGTGTGAGTGAACATCAGAGTGTACCTTATAAGTATTTAAGTTGCTCTTCACTTCTACTAATTTCTCATATACAATAAGAGAGTAGAGTGTCATCATTTGAAGTTCCATAAACAGTAGTTTGCTGGAAAATTATTTTTTCACATTCAATATACTCCTAATGGCATATTTTTGTGCCAAGAAAAGTTTATGTAGATGTACTTGGGAAGCTGAGCACCAGACATTTAATCCATACCTGAGGGTAGATTCAAAAATGGAATAGTAGGTCATTATGGCAGCTGACTTGCTTATACATTGTCTCACTTTTTTTATAGCATAGATCGCAGAATTTAATCTGCTGCATAATTGTGTTATATGGGTACTCCACATGAGCCTCACGACATCAATGTTTAACCCTAAAAATTTTGTGTAAGTATCTTCATTGCGGATGTCATCGATTTTAGTTATTCTGGATTCAAATACTAGTGTCTTAGTTTTTTTCTCGTTCAGAACTAATTGATTTGGGACGAACCATGATCTTGCAGATTCTAATATTTCCTTCTGGATAGTTGTTGGGTCCTCTCCTCTTTGTACATTAATACCAAAAGTGGCGTCATCCGCATATAGAACAGTACCTATTTTTTTATTCTGGAAAACATTTGGTAAGTCATTTATGTATATTAGAAATAGCAGAGGACCCAACACCGTTCCTTGGGGTACACCTCTAATTATCTGTTGGGGTCCACTTAGCTCATTTCCTATCATAACTCTCTGATCTCGATTTCCCAGGTATGAAGCAATTATATCAAGGGCTACACCCCTGATACCCTAATATTCTAATTTCCTAATTAATATGCCATGTTCAACACAGTCAAAAGCTGCACTTAGGTCAGTAAAAACTCCAAGGAAATTCTCATTGTTTTCAAAGGAATTTTTAATGGAATCTGTTAAGGACTTGATGGCATCAATTGTTGAAAGATGTTTTCGGAATCCATATTAATGATTAGTAAAGATGTTGTGTTTGTGAAAGTAATTTAGTAATTGGTCATAAAGAGAGATTTCAAAGACTTTCGAGATAGCAGGTGAAATTGATATCTGTCTAAAGCTATGAGGTTGATCAGTGGGCCCGTTTTTGTATACAGGGAAAACCTTTGCACATTTTAATTTTGTTGAAAAATATCCATCTTGAATGCAGGTATTGAGAACGTACACCAAGATGTCTGAAATTTCTCCATCACATTGTTTCAGAATAGATGTACTGATCCCATAGATGTCTTCAGATTTTTTTATTTTTTATTTTTCTCAGAATTGCATGTATATCATGTACATCAACTGCTCTGAGAAACATCGAACTTTTACTTGATGTATTCAGGAATTTTTCAAAATTGGTTTGACATTTAGGCAAGGACTCAACCAATGAGTGTGCATGTCTGATAAAAAAAGTGTTCATCTCTTCTGGGCTCAAGTTATCTGGGTTGTTCCTCTTCTTACTATTTCTACCTGTTTCAGAATTTATAATATTCCAAACTGTTTTACTATAATTCTTTGTGGAGCATAACTTATTTTCATCAAAATGTCTTCTTGCCTGACCTAGACTGTGGTGCCTGGAAGATGACGAAACGACATCGCATGATCTCACTGAGTGCCGAGCAGCGGCGGATTTACCGGTACGCTTAGTATGCTGAAGCTTAGGGCCCCGACCCTTGCGGGGGCCCCGCAGGGGTCTTGCATTGCATCATTATTTTCCCATATAATTTGTTTGTATAAATGAAATAATGACAAAAATAAATCCGAGCAATACTTATTTTATATAACGGCAGCAGCAACATTGCGGAAAAAGATTGAAAATTGATCAAATTAGACAAAAGTCGCGTAATGCCATTCTGCAAACTGAAAGAAATCAGCCGTTTTGTTCTCCCCAAATATTAGCTGAATAAGAACAAAATCAATGATTGCATATTGAAACCGTTTAACTTACGCAATATTTGTCTAATTCCATCAACTGTCTGGGAGACACCTAGCAATACCTAGCAATACTGTCCCTATGAGATCGACAGGTCGCTGTACAACAAAGGAATGATGAACGGAGGTATTTTTCAATTGAAATCAGTGCTTTGAACTTTTTTCCACACTACCAGTGACCAGTTTCGAAGCAGAGCACTCATTTTCGAAATTAACAATAATTAATAGTTATTTAACCAACTAGTGTATTAATGAGGGCGATTAATGATCGAGATATTTTAACGTGCGAGCGAAGCGAGCGCGTTAATGTTCGAGATCATCAATCGCCTTTTAATATACAAGTTGATTACAAAAATTTTCCGTCGACTATATTTCTCATTTCTCCTGCAATGAAGAAAACTTGGTTCGCGAATTCATCATCCATCCGGAAACTGCTAAGAATCACCCAGTAGCTTTGTTACTGACATTAGAGACATTTGACATTTGTCGAAATGATCAACATAGGAAATAAATTCCTTGTGTTAGAAAACAGGGATTAGAATCGTATCAGAAACTTGGAAAGGCGGACCCGTTAAAGGAAAATTGTCGATGAAATCCATATTTTCGATTAAAATGCAGATTCCGTAAGTTATAGCATAAACAATGAATGCACGCGGTGTATGTTTGGTTGCCTATATAACAATAGTGCATTAATAGACAAATCGTTCATTAATAGGGGTCATTAATGAACGATTTCATATACATTAAACATAGTCGTTAATACGAGGTCGACGGAAAACTAAATTGTTGATACGAGGTCGACGGAAATAGTTATTCAACCAACTAGTGTATTAATGAGGGCGAATAATGATCGAGATATTTTAACGTGCGAGATCATTAATCGCCTTTTAATATACAAGTTGGTTACAAAATTTTTCCGTCGACTATATTTATCATTTCTCCTGCAATGAAGAAAACTTGGTTCGCGAATTCATCATTCATCTGGAAACTGCTAAGAATCACCCATCAGTAGCCTTGTTACTGACATTAGTGACATTTGACATTTGTCGAAATGATCAACATAGAAAATAAATTCCTTGTGTTAGAAAACAGGGATTAAAATCGTTTCAGAAACTTGGAAAGGCGAACCCGTTAACGTAAAATCTTCAATGTAATCCATATTTTCGATTCAAATGCAGATTTCGTAAGTTATAGCATAAACAATGAATGCACTCGGTGTATGTTTGGTTGCCTATAAAACAATCGTACATTAATAGACAAATCATTCATTAATAGGGGTCATTAATGAACGATTTCATATACATTAAACATAGTCGTTAATGTTCAAGATCATTATTCGCCTTTCAATATACGAGGTGGTTACAAAATTTTTCCGTCCACTATATTCCTCATTCCTCCTGCAATGAAGAAAACTTGGTTCTCGAATTCATCATCCATCCAAAAACTACCAAGAATCACCTAGTAGCCCTGTTACCCAGATAACACACATACATCCATTGGATGTCCATTTTGAATCCATTAGGTAGCCGGATGTCCATGGATGTCCAATGGACATCCATTGTGTATATGTACAATGGACATAGAGATTTGTACATACAATGGACATCCATTTTGTAGTTGTACAATGGACAACGAAATTTTTACAGCCAATGGATATCCATCATACTTATCCAATGGAAATCGTTTCGCAAAGTATATATGTGTCATTTATGACTCTTCTATTTCAATTGAAATATTTTTACCAATAATATATAATATATATATATGAACATTAATCACGGACAACTTCGCACTCGGTACTATTTTTCAAGATTTTATACGTCTCATCATTTTTGTAGGTTACGTACCTATATAGAGGTAGGTACTTATTTTAAAGTTGATTTTCATCCAATTTCAATTTTAAACCATTTAGGCCGTGCAAATAAGATCGATATGGGCAAATATTAAACGGCGGGTTTCTTTCGAAAAAGATGAATCACCCTGTAACACTTTTGATAAGGGCCGTGTAAAAGCTTTATTGCGGCACTAAACTTCAGCAAATTGCATTTTCTCTCGATGTGAAATACCGTGAATACGAAATACTTGCTTTAATATTTATAACAGCTCAGTGGTCCAGAGGTTAGCGTTGTGATCCACGAGTGCGGGGTCGGGAGTTCAATCCCCTCAAAGGACAACTTTTTTTTAATTTCTACGTTCTGGCTGGACAAAATTTGGATATCCAATGGAAGTCCAATGTATTCCTGATGAGTATCCAATAGACTTATCATTGGAATGGACATAAGTTGGATTTTTGGTAGACATCCATTAGAGTTCTGATGTGTATACAATGGTATTTCAAATGTAATGGACATACAATGGATCTTCATTGGGAATCCATTGGATGTCTGATGAGTATTCAATAGACTTCCAATGGAAAGGACAAATATTGGATGTCCAATGGGAATCCATCAGATGTCTAATGGAAAGCCAATGGACTTCCAATGTATGTCCAAACTGTTGGACATGTATTATCCAATGGATGTCCATTGGACAAATACTGGACAATGCCGTCCATCCAATGGATGTCCAGGGTATCCATAGCTGGACATCCATTGGTTGTCCAATGGATTCACTTGTGTTGTCTGGGTACTGAAATTAGTGACATTTTACATTTGTCGAAATGATCAACAAACAAAATAGATTCCGGCGAACCCGTTAACGGAAAATCTTCGATGAAATCCATATTTTCGATTCAAATGCAGATTCCGTGAGTTAAAGCATAAACAATGAATGCACGCGGTGTATGTTTGGTCGCCACTAAAACAATCGTGCATTAATAGACAAATTGATCATTAATAGGGGTCATTAATGAACGATTTCATAAACATTAAACTTACTCGTTAATACGAGTTCGACGGAAAAATCAAATAAAGAACTGTATTGCTGAAAAAAATATTACCACCTTTAGGAATGCTTTCGATCGAAAGTGATTTGACGAACAGTTTGAAAATTATTATGGTGCAATGAAATGATTCACAGATTTGAAAATCAGAAATCAGGAATCCTAATATGTTCCTCCTATTAATTTCGTTATTGTTTAGAACCTGTATGAACTCGAAAACATTTTATTTTGTTGGTACCTGATCCTAGTTAGTGTTAGTGTTATAGTTATGGTTATTTTATTTCATGTCGTTCTATTCTTTCATTTGTTTTCTTTTGTTTTTTTTTGTTACCTATATATCCTATAGTTTGGAGATACTATATTTTTATCAATGAATGTCTTTCTTTTTTGCTTTTTTATGTCCTTTATATTTTCATCATCAAATGTTTAGTTTTGTTTTCATTTGTATTTGGGAAGAAAATATAACATGGTATTATTGATTGAAAAAATAGAGGGCATTAAGTATTGATTGAAAAAAACAGGAGAAGGAATGGGGGTAGGGGCCACAGGGACCCCAAGAATTAGTAAGCTCCCCAGTCAACACAGGATATCTTATGGATATCCATTTCAAGTCCTATTCAAGGCGGGATATCCGTGGACTGTAAATCCATAAGATATCCGATTGCGGATGTACTTGAGATATCCGAAACAAACGTCTTGAATACGTCCATAGGATATCCATAAGATACAGAGACAAAAGATTAATACCTAGAAATTTCAAATCAAGTATACAATGAATGAAATGATAAATAACACTTGTGCATAGGTCTTCCAAAAGATAGCACACATCGTGATGCACTATCTGCAATTATTATTAATTCGGTTCTCAAAAACAGCGCGAGGTGGCGTATCGTCTCAAATAGTCCAAGATTGGTAGAACTGATGACTATTTATAGATCATGGATTCTACCAACCTTGGAATAGTCAAATAATGTCAATCTGTTTTCATATTTAATTAATTTGAAGTGAATTTGGGAGTGATTCCTACGAATTCGTCAGAAATTGATGATGCATAAGAACTGACAACTACATTATTAGAACGCAGTGAGACGACGTACGTGAGTGCTTCCCAATTTATGTGATTTTTTCTATATATATATAGGCTATACTATCTCTTATCAATATCCATAGTTGATATCTTATGGATATCCATAATGAATATCTCTAAGACATCCAAAAAGGTCACACGGTCACATCCTATGGAAGTCCATAGGATATACCAGAGAATTTTCCGGATATCTTATGGACATCCGCAATATCCATGATGGATATCCATAGTATATCCATAAGATGTACTTGTGCTATCTGGGTCAGGGCCTCAGAAATCGTAGATCCGCCACTGGTGCCCAGCACTGATTCATCAGAGGAGGGCTGTACCTAGTTGGCAAAATAATTCTCAGGTCCACAGGACGTGAAAGAGATTCGGTTGAGGACGCTGCTGAACTTCTCCAAGGGATTCGGCATACCCGTCTGAATGTCGGAACACGTGGACGCACAATAGGCCCGAATATAAGGAGGCCTACGTGCAGGGGTGTTGATCGGCCCAACAGTGCTTCGAAGGGGGAAAATAATATGCAGTTTATTATAACAGTTATTTATTCAATGAGAAAAATCTTCGTCACTCTCTAATACAGTAGGTCGTTTCTAATAATAAAATATAACAAGAAATATAATAATATGTGAATACATACAAACTTTACATCGTGAAGTGTGTCTAAAAAGCCTTTCAGCTTTAATAGTTGGCTGTAGAGCATCAAGTAGGTAATTCGATCGAAATGTTTTCAGATCAGCTGTGTTATTTTTAAGCTTCATATCGATGTCTTATTGTCATTGATGAAACCATAATGGAACAATTTTAGTCAAAATGGAATAATAATATTCTCAACCTTAGGATTTTATAATTCATAATTATCAGTAAATTTTGAAATTCAGACAGATCAAAATAAGAACGTCGATTTTCTCATTCGTTGATACTATCTTGTTTGATGACATCGACTACCTACTCATGAAGTACATGCTTCACAGCTCAGACGATTCAACCATTTCTGATTATTGTGACAGACATGCCATTGATTTTTCAGGTGATAATTGTGATAAGTTAAGCTGCTGCTGAAGTTTGAAATTTCTTTCAGACATAATTATTATTTCTAAATTCGCTCTCACTGCTATTTCCTGACTAGACCAGAAAAATGCTACGTTCTCAAACGATAATTGTGAGTACCCACTTTCCGGATCATTGCCGAAAACAACAACAACATTTTATCATACTAATAAGGCTTTCCGAGCACCCTGCATGTATTCAATGAACAATAAAATATATTGCATAAAATATATGTTAAAAAAATGTATGATTCTAAATGTTCGGAACATTCTATATTTATTCTTCGCGTGTATAAGGTTCAATATATTATGAATAATGTGATTGAATTAAAATATTCTATGGTACATCAATTTGTGTTTGTAATCTTCTCTTAAAACCTAGAGCTCCTTCATATTCTCATAGGAACGGATTGAAACACTTCTAGTGAATAAGACGACAGGCCAATGAATTTCTCAAAGACTCTTCGACACATGATATAAATATCCTGTAATTTCACTCAAACTGGCCTGTATTATAAAGGTTTCGATCCAAAATTACCATATCCCGTCTTCATACACTCTTGAAAACAACGAACATCACGAAGAGCAAAGCATGATTGAAATACTTCATTGCACTCGAATTCCCATTGCAGAAATCTTGAAGGTTGCAGTTGTTGGCGGTATTCTGGATTTTCTGTTGCACTGTAGACCAGGTGCAGAGACCGACCGAGCAGTCAGACAACTCGACTGGATTCTCGTTCAAGAAGAACATCACCCTATGCTTCTCTCCACTTCTACATCTGAAAAATTAATTTCGTATTGAATTATGAGATAAGATTTCCACACAATGGGCGTGTACACCTTAGTAGAACTTTTAACTCAAACCATGTTTATAATGATCCTTCTATACATAAATAATGATTGACGACATAATTCGATCGAAAAATTAACTGGAATGTTTTATTTTTGGACATAAATAATAGTACCTTCTGAAAACGGACCCTCTTATGACGTAGAAACCTCATCTCGCCATAGTTAAAAGAAAATACCAAACGCCCCCGACGGAGACTGAGCCAACTGATATATTAATTCTTTCAGCTGTGATCTCGCGCTAATTCACTCTGTCAGAAATCATGTATCATTCATCTCTGTCTGGAATAGTCTTGTTTCAGTATTAGGGTTTTGACGTCACATCATCGCCTCGTTTTCAGAGGTCCGAAAATTTGGGGATTTCAATAATTTTTTATAAAACGTAGGGAGCTCACAGCAAGAAACGGTTTGCGGTGGTGAGCTAGTTTGGGTGAGTTCTATCGAATTATGAAATAAAATTTTCTCGTGATATAAGCCCATTCTCAAACACACAACATGTTTCGCTAACACAGTAGCTTCGTCAGGTTATATCGTGGTACAATGAACTAAACCAACCTTGACTTGCTCAACTCTTATATATCCTAATCTCCTAACTTGAAGGATAAGTTACCTGTGGACAGGTTCGAATCTACATCAAAATACGGTGTACCAGATGAACTTGAAAGAGTTGATAGCGAATACATATTATTATAATAATAACCTACTAAGAAAACAAATTCAACAGTGGTGAGCTATTGAGGTCTAATTGATCGTTAAGTAAAATGTCATAATTGTTGAGTTTGTTGATTTCTAATGATTCAAAATGATTGAGTTTCATTCCTTAATTTTGTACGTGTAGAATTTCGAAATTATCATCAAAACTATACAGTGTGTCCCTAGACCAGTGGGACAGTTGAATATCTCCTGAACCAATAGGAATTTTCAGAATATTATGATTTCACATCATATCGCATTATGAGGGCTAACATCAGGAATGACTATATTTTATAAGAGGGGCGCAAGAAAGGCTCACAAAATCGAACATCAATTTTTTCAAATGGAACACCCTGTATTTCATTGCATTTTCATATTCTCCTTGATGAACTGAATTCAACGACCTAGCACACTTGGGGTCTAGCGGGAATGATTTCCGAGATATAGGGTGTGGAAAATCGAGATTTTTCATTTTTGGGGAATTTTTTGTGTCAAAACTATTCATTATTGGTCAAAACGCATTACATGTCCAGATCTTAACTTTTGATTTACTATTTACTCGTATTTAATTGGAACAAATACAGGGTGGTGTAGAATTCTGACTGAAACTGAGAATTCTACACCACCTTGTATTTGTTTCAATTAAATACGAGTAAATAGTAAATCAAAAGTTAAGATCTGGACATGTATTCCGTTTTGACCAATAATGAATAGTTTCGACACAAAAAAATCCCAGAAATGAAGAATCTCGATTTTCCACACCCCCTATATCTCGGAAATCATTCCCGCCAGACCCCAAGTGTGCTAGGTCGTTGAACTCAGCTCATCAAGGAGAATATGAAAATGCATTGAAATACAGGGTGTTCCATTTGAAAAAATTGATGTTCGATTTTGTGAGACTTTCTTGCGCCCCTCGTATAAAATATAGTAATTCCTGAAGTTAGCACTCAGAATGCGATATGATGTGAAATCATAATGTTTTGGAAATTCCTATTGGTTCAGGAGATATTCAACTGTCCCACTGGTCTAGGGACACACTGTACCCTAACAACACCAGTACATCCTAGGGACTTCCCAGGGACGTCCCTGATTTTTCACTAGGACATCCCAGGGATGTCCTTTGTCGGGACAACGTACATACTAGGGATGTCCCAGGGACATCCGCTGGCCGCCAAAAGAGGCATCCGAGGGATGTCCTCCTGGTACGTCCCTGGGATGTACCAAGTACGAAGAAAGGATATTCCAGGGACATCCCTTCGACAAAAGAAAAAAAAAAGCAGGTCGAGTAGGGATTGAACCCGGGACCTTCAGCTTATCAGGCACGCACCTTACTCCATTGGCTATTATGCCTCCTGAAGATTTATGTACTGAACAGATTTATAAACAGAACTTAACAATAGAAACCTGAATAAATACAACTTTGTTAGGATTTGGGTATAATTATTATCATTCTTGGGTGTTTGAATATGAGGGGCAATATGCATGTACGATTTCTGTTTGCGAAAAATGGTAATTTCTTTAGTAGTTCTGAGACTTTATTCTTTATTTTCATTACAATTATTTTCCGAAAAAAAAACAAACATTTTCAAATAAATTCAACTCACTAGTTTGATGAAATTCAATGACTCTGATGTGAATGGATATCAGATATTCCAGGGACACGAATAGGATATCCGAGGGATGTACCGGGCGGGATGTCCACTGGACAACCACTGCGGGACATCCCCTGGATGCCCCAATCATGTCCTTGTACCGCGGGACAAAAAAGGGACGTACCTAGGGCATCCCTGTGTTGTTAGGGTATATAAATCGTTGGCGTATGTTGAATTTGTTTTCTTTTTCAAAATATATAACTTTGGAAAAGATCCACAGTTGAATTTGTATACCCCTGATTTTTCGAATTTAGAAGTTTTGTCTTCATTATTTTTGATAAATCTTCCCAATGTGTTATTTGTTCTATATCCTACTGAAAGTACCAGATGTAGCAAATAGAACGGGTTCGATAAACCTTAATTTTCGGAAAAATGGCACAATATCTACATTGAATTACGGTACACGTAGAAAATAAAGGAAAAGAACTCGATCAATTACATTTACATTTACTTAACGATCAATTATTCCTCAATAGTTCACCACTATTGAATTTGTTTTCTTAGTAGGTAATAATATGTATTTGCTATCAACATTATACGGATTCCCTTTCGTGCGCTCCAAGCGATAAAAAAAAACCTTTCAAGTCAATCCTGTACACCGTATTTCAATGTAGATATTGTGCCTAATTTCCGAGAATGAAGGTTCACAGGTAACCAATCCTTCAAGTTGGGATAGTAGGGTATATAAAAGTTAAGCAAGCCAGGGTTGTTCATTGTACCAGTATATCACCTGACGAAGCTACTGATGTGTTAGCGAAACATATTGTGTGTTCAAGAATTTTGTGAAAATCTTATCGTTTGTGAATTTTTCACATTTGCCATGAATTTCCATCAAGTAACGGCCGAGTCAATTCAAAAAAAGACTTATAGACTGATCTAGACCGCCAATTCTATAAGAAAAAATGTGAGCCACTCAGGATATCGAAATGGTGACACTGATTCATGCGCATTTAGGATCTGTCATGTTACGAACATAAATTCGAGGAACATAGGCGTATCGAAAAAAAAATTGTTGTTAATGGTCTACTATGGAAGGATGTTAAACCATACATAAAGTAGTGAGAAATGAATGAGATATGCAGTATTTGGATCTCATAGCCTCCAATACACAGATTTGAGAACTCTATTTCAGAAACGGCGGATTTGCATATGGTGCAATGTCTTGGCCTTGAAGCATCAGAAAGCTGTCTGGTATGAAATAGAATGAACATATTATTCCTGAGTGGCTAAGATCCAATCATCTTCTAATAGCCCCAAACCATTCGTTTATCTCATTCTTGGGAATTCTAGAGTCACTATTGAATGAGTAAACTTGTAATCCTTATTAATAGATGTGCGTCAGGTATGGCATCTCACGCCAGAACCCGAATTCTTTATAGCTGAATGATTATACAAAACATGCATGATTCCATTCGATATGAAGACTTGCTCAACTGATGGAAGCAAATTGAAATAATAAATTATTCATTACCCACAAGCTCACTGATAAGAAGAAATACCTTCAGTATTATAATTCATGGAATTCTCAGAGCAAAGAACAAACCACTTCATAATTCCTAGGATTGACGAAAATAAAACGAAAACATTAATATCACCACCACTTCAAAGTCAAAGTCATAAACGACATCTTGAGGGTTCCTGCGTATTGAGGAGGAGCGTTTTCAGGCGAGCAACTGACCCTACATTTTCGGGTTGCTGCGATATGACTACTAGCAGTCTAGTTGGTGGATTGATATTGAAAAGACGAGATGGACGATAAATGTTTCACCGCGAAGGTCTTGAGTTGAAGTTGGAATTGCTATGTTCGACTATATTCGAGTTATAGAGGGTGATTCATGAGGAGACTCACATAGCCATATGGTGAATAGAGGAAATCACGACTAGTTGATGTATTTCTAATATGAACAATGTTTTTGGCCATCCATAACGAAGATTATGAGAAATTGTCATATAAGTTTGATGACCGATATTCCACTTTGTGATCACTTTTCTCGAAAACTTTTATCAGAATCAGAAAAATCAGACAAAATGCCATAAGAACTGCTCTTCAATTTGCACGACACACGTTTACCGGTTTTGAAAATATGAAACGAAAGAAATTTTCGAACTCGACCTGGAATCACATACTGTACATTTTTGTTGGATGAAAATCGACAGGAAAGAGAAGTAAAGAAAACACAGTGGGTACTGTTTTTATGATGAATGAATATTTTTTATACATATGTGCTGAAGTAGGCTATGTTCTTCATTTTAGCAATATGCATGCACTTGGGATGACACTTCATTTTGCAAATGCTGAACATGACGAAAATTCAAATGATGAGATGTTATTACCATAGAAGATTTCCAGACCCAAGAGTACGTAGTGAAACCTTCACGAGGATGAACATTGGGAATATTGAAGGAAGAGCAAATACATCCCTATCACTTGCAGAAGTGTGTCAAGAACAAATGAAGCATTTTTTCATGAAATCGGTCAGAGTGTGCTGTGCAAATTGAGAAACAGTTCTAATGGCATTTTATGTGATCTTTCCTAATCTGACGAAATTTTTCGAAAACGTCAACACAATGTGAAATTTTTCGACATAACAATAAAACATGAAATTTCTCGTAAGTCCGGATCTGGATTTTCTGTTTATAATATGCAATCTTGAATAGTTTCAATAGAGAAAAGTCGCTGCCAAATTTCAGCTAATCACGATGAATCATTTCTGAAAGATATATCTGCTATCAAAATTATATGGCACTTTCACAAAATACGTTATGGATAGCATAAAAAAATGTTCATACATACATAAACTCGTCCTGATTCTACCTATCCACCATTTGGTTTTTTTCTTGGAGCGCACGAAAAGAAATTCCTGTAATGTTCGTAGAACATCGTGCGTACCTAGGGAGGTATAGGTATTTGGATTAATTTTGGACTATTAGATGTTATAAAAGTTCTTGGTAATACTTCCATTGGCAAAGAATTCCAAATCTTTGCTGTTCTACAGATGAACAAGTGTTGGTAAAGTTTTGTTCGACATATCCCAAGGTTGACAACTCAAGGATGTGCTAACTGGGCTTGTCTGAATGATATTGCTAGTGATGGAATGATAGCAGAGATTTCTGATGTTCATGCAGCAAATGCGTAATGATGTCAAATTGAAAAAAAAAGTGTTACTTACTCATATAACACAGCGGCCAGATTAGCAGCAAAGGGGTTCAGTAAAGAGGTTCTCCAGTTTCTTTTACTTTGTTGATGATAGTTATCCGCAGTAAGTGGAGTGAAATCTTTGCCGATTCCTAAAGTTGTCAGCACTGTCTGAATTGTGGCCGTACTAGTGAACAGGAAGGTACCCTTAGTTCCATCGGAATTTCCTGGAATATTATAATAAAACATAGCATCGAAATGAAGCCCAAAATAATTTAGACTACATTTATAATTTGGGTGACCAAATGAGGAATATAGGACACAAATGGAATCCATCATCAGCTATATCAGCATATCCTTCAATTCAATGGAAGACACTCATTGAATATGAGTTTAGATCAAGATTTTGATTCATCGGTTTGTACCGTACATCTATTAAAGAGCATTTTGTGAGGGGGATAGATTTCTGGCAGACCCGAACACACGTGTCACGTATACTGCTGCTATTCACAATGTATCAAATTATGGCTTCCTATCGAGTTTCTAAAAATAGCTATTTGTGAGTTATATCAAGTGGATGACCAAAGAACGACAGACGGTGTCAGTTAGTTGATAAATGATTATCAGTATCGAATGTGCAATGAAATTGAGCAATGGTGTCGTAGCGGTGGACTAAACTGTCCGTATCCCAAAGCCACGAATTGAGAATGAGCGACGACTTCAATGCTCAAATCACAAAGGTATGACGAATGAGCGACAGACACAAATAGCGGTGGATGTAAATGCCCTTGTCGCGGAGGAACTGTGAATGAGCTACGGGCACAAAAAGCTGTGGATATGGATGACCATGGGGCGAAGGCACTGTGAATAAGCGACGAATCATTGTCTACTAAATAAAGGCATTCGACACCGTGAGCCATACAATATTGTTATCAAGTTTGGAAAAAATTGGAATAAGAAATAACTGTTTACATATATTCAAAACATATCTTGAAGACCAGAAACAATGTGTAAAAATCAATAATGATATTAGTAGCTACAGGACTATAGAATGCGGTGTCTCTCAAGGAACGGTATTGGGTCCAATTCTCTTTTCTATTTATATAAATGGTACATTTTCATTAGAATTGCAAGGGAAAGTGATAATTTTTGCAGATGATACTGTGGTAGTCTACAAAAGCAGAAGTTGGGATTAAGTAATAAATGATGCTGAAAAAGATTTGAATATCTTGAAAGCCTGGTTCGATTGTAAATTGCTATCTATAAATTTCAAAAAATCTTGCTTCTTACCACTTTCCAGCACCAAATCGTCGTTACCTGACATTGAACAAATCTCAATAAAGAATGGCTTGAAAATATCCTCAGCAACTAAAGTTAAATATCTTGGATTATTAGATAACCACTTCAGATGGGACTTACATATAGACTATATTTTACGAAAACTGAGATTTGTGTTACATAAATATCGACAGCTGAATGACATACTCGACCTGAAGCAAAAAAAAATAATATACCACAGCTTAGTTGAGATCGAGTCACATCACATACGGAGTTCTGGGATGGGGAGGTGTATCAAAAACTCATTTGCGCCCTCTCGACGTGATTCAGAAGCGCTTCCTAAAATTGATGCTGTCCAAGAATAAAAGATACCCGAGCGAGCTTCTTCATCAAGAATCAGAAATACTAGACATTCGACAGCTGACTTTCAAAATCATCAATATTCGACAACACCAGAATCGAAATAACTTGGTACAACTCAGTCATGAATATAATACAAGACAACAACATAAATTTGCGTGTCCTCTTACATCCAAAGCAATAGGACATAAATGCTATTCATACTTGGGTCCAAAATTTTTCAACTCGCTACCGATTTCACTTCAGACAGAAAAGAGTAATATGCTATTTTAAAAAAAACTTACTCATTACTCAAAGAATACCTCCCGTGCACTTATACGTTTCCTATTCAATTAAGTTTCAATAGTGATTATCCCTTTGTGTGCATCATTCTAGGAAAGTGACATATTATATGAGTACCTATATACATGTGTTGCAAAAACAATTCACTCAACCTCAATTGAAATATATGTTCAACTTCAATTTCAATGATCATGTACATTATTACTTTATATAAATTTTAATATCGTATATATATATATATTTTAAAATTTTAATATTGAATTTTGAATTTGAATACGTTTTATATTTTCATGTTTCTTCGTCCTCTGCGAGTATAGTTTGTTGTTCACTATTTTTAAATTAATGTATGTATGAATTTGTTTTTTTTTGCTCACACACAGGCTGAGGCCTCTGTGAGTTTCCATGTTTAATTGTTGATTTCTTTTCTGATGCAACTTTGTGAATGTAGTCTTATTAGCAATTAAACGATTCTATTCTATTCTATTCTATTCTAAAAATGGAAAAAAAATCTAGTGCGGTGAAGTTCCCCTAATGGGACCTTTTTACAAGCCCCAAGGTGTTTTCAATGACTGATATGGTTCGCTTAAGAGTTCTGGCTAACATCCTTTTCAGGCACCGCCCATCAGCTCTCTTTCAGAGTTTTTCGGCTGTGTTTTTTTGTAGGCTAGTAATGTACTCACTACCATATGCTGCAGTGGCAGGCCTGCTAGCTATTCTCGTTAACCCCCGTTAGAGACCGAGGTCCACTAAGCAGCAGGTTCGCTCTCACGCTCACCTGGTAGTTTTCCACACCCACCTACATACACCGTCCTACTTCTCCTCTGATGCTCACAACCACATTATCTCTTTCTGCATGTTCTGTGTAGGCTTTGTTACTAACTCCATGCGCCACTTCAGGAACAGCAGTGTTAATTGGAACGCAACAGCGAATCGTGCAGGACTATCCCCACCCTATGCTCCGAAACTTTACAATATTTAATTCGTAAATTTTTACTGGCGGTTGATTTCTAGCCGTTTGAAAATCATCGTCGCATTTTTGATGATTTCAGGTGATTGACCCTCATATCTGACCCCTCCATTGAACTAAACCCATGTTTAGTTCGATAGAGGCCTTCAATTGCAGGACTTATCAATAAAGGCTGATGGACTCCATTTGATGACGAAATATATTTCTTATTCAGCTGAAATTATGAATATCCTGGAAATAATTTTAGATTTTTTATAATATTTTTGACTACTTTAAGCAACGATTGGAGAACTTCTCCAAATGTTTAAGCTTTGTGCATGAATATTTTTGGAGGGTATGACACCCTTCTGAAATGCCTTAAACTTACCATTGACGGTCTTTTCAAATCGTTCATACATATCCTTCACAGGAGCACATCCTACTCTATTGCTCAGTTGATTTCCGTAACCAAATTTGTAATAGTATTTCAAATCCTCAGCGTATTCTAGTAATTTCAGTTGATCCTTATTGAAGGCGACACACCATGGTGAACGTTCTTGAACAATCCTACGAAATGATAATAATAATTTTCTTTTCCAAAGAAATAAGTGAGTACAGTCAGATGCGAATAACATTCCGCATAAGAGCGGTAATAGCAATTGTGCATTCAGCATTTTTTCTGCAAACAACATAGGTTATTGATTTCGCGTCATTACATTACATTACATTACTGAAGTTTACGGCTACGATATAACAATCATTGTTATTATGATTGAATGGATATAAGAACTTCGTTAGAGTTACAACACATCATCCTAGCCGGATTTTTGTCAATCCTCATATGCATGGGCTCGGTATTATACCCGAGTCTTTTAATTTCAATTAGTTTTGTAACTTTTGTACCAACTTTTTCCCTTATAATAATTTTTTTTCTAGTGGAATTGGTTCTATCATGTCTGTATGATAGAATTGTTATGATATTTTCCTGGGCAGGGCTGGAATATGATCAACCATGCAAGCAAGACTACATCGATCCCAAGTTCTTGATCGTTCGATGGAATCAATCATAGGAAGAAAATGTTTTTCGCTTCCTCAAAAAGTTTACGCACCACCAGAAGTTTGAGATATATTTTCGTCGAAACTACTTGTTCGATTTAGAAGTTTCTTGTTTCGAATAATAGATCTCCTTCTGAATATTGGCGTGCAATATATTGTTACGTTATTCGGGTGCAGAAGCGAACACGATACTTCTGATTTTCGAACTGATTTATTTTAACTAAAGGGAAATTGATTTATATCGAACTTATAACTAGTATTTATGTAAAACGATTTATATCACGCGGCATATGACTGTCTCTCTGACACTCGCTTCTTTACTGACTGACGGCAGCTGTCCGGCCGTCCTTATACAGTGTGTCCCATGCTCACCATGGGTATCTTTTCAACGGTGAGAGATACGAGGTCGGTTAAATGACACCGAATGTAGAGTTTGTCAAGGCCAACTATAATGTGAAAAAATATTTTGATAAGATCTATTCTTTTTTGTTTTATACGCAATGTCTCCTCCGTAACTTCTTTATTTATTGAAATATTCAAATAGGAATTTCACATTCTCATGGCAGGTTTTCAGTGATTTCGAAAAAAATATGGAATTTATACCAACTCTTCTAGAATTTGAGATATCAGCACCAACTTTAGTTTTTCAAATGTAGGTCATAGCTCACTATGACTTAGTTACAAATAACTTTTTCTTCTCTTACAGATGATATGTCGCAGTAATAGTCTTGTGTTGATAACAACGGAGTTATCGTCATTTATACAAAAACAAAAAATTATTTGGCAGCCGCCATCTTGAATTTATGAATTTTAACAAAAAATCATGATCTCCGACCTCAAAAACCCCTACTTACCAATTTTGAATGGAATCGGACCAAATCTTGTCCGCCATCTTGGAGCAGCCACTTTTTTTCAATTTCAACAAAAATTCCATAATGTATTTAGTATTTTCACCGATATTATGAACACCTGCCACATTCCAAGTTAATCGGAGTTATGGATTTTTTGTTGAAATTAAAAAAAATGGCTGCTCCAAGATGGCGGACAAGATTTGGTCCGATTAAATTCAAAATTGGTGAGTGGGGGTTTTTGAGGTCGGAGATAATGATTTTTTTGTTAAAATTCATAAATTCAAGATGGAGGCTTCCTAATAATTTTTTGTTTTTGTATAAATGACGATAACTCCGTTGTTATCAACACAAAACTATTACTGCGACATATCCTCTGTAAAAGAAAAAGAAGTTATTTGTAAATAACTCATAGTGAGCTATGACCTACATCTGAAAAACTGAAGTTGGTGCTGATATCTCAAATTCTAGAAGAGTTGGTATAAATGTCATATTCTTTTCGAAATCTCTTTGAAAAACTGCTATGGGAATTTGAAATTCCTATTTGAATATTTTCATAAATATAGAATTAAGTTACGGAGGATACATGAAAATGATCAAAATCTGTTTTTTGAGTATAAAACAATAACGAATAGATTTTGTCAAAATATTTTTTCATATTATAGTTGGCCTTGACAAACTCCACATTTGGTGTCATTCAACCGACCTTGTATATCTCACCGTTAAAAAGATACCCATGGTGAGCATGATAAGTGGGACACACTGTATATCAGATACCTTGGCAGGCCTTGCTTCTAGAACAATATCTCTCTCTATAATTATAGTTTCATCGATTATTTCGAGATTATTCCAGATTCTTCTGTCAGGTCATTGTCGTTCTAGATGACAACCTAGTTAGGTAGATTTAGATCGACAATGGTCAGGTTATGTATCGCCGTTACATATATTGGGTGTTCGGAAATACGCTGGAACATGTTAGAATAATTGGGATGTTCAAGAGTGATCCGGAACGCGTGTTACTGATGGGTGATCGTTGTACTCCTACCTTCCTGATGATGTTCTAAAGCCCCTTTGAGGTGAATATCATTACACTATGTATTCGCATAGTAGCCTCATTTTTAGAAATGAAGGATGAAGCAATTATAGCCTGTTTTTTTTTAATTACACCTCAGCGTTATCGTCTTTCAACATTTCTTTCTTGAATTTACTCCATTATCATTCCTATTACTCCAGAAGCACAATTTTATAGAATTACACGATTTTATCGAATTCAATTAACATTATAAGCATTGTGATTCATAAATGGAAGCCTTGAAGCTGGTAGGTACATATTGACGATTTCAGAACTACATTTTATAGTGTAAGTATGTTTGTTGATGAATAACATAATGCCAGGTCTCACGTCGCCCGAGTTGTGAGAAATTATCTAGAGAAGTCGGTAACGCTAACATCGCATGGCCAGCTCGGAGCCCGGATTCAAATCCCATTGACAATCTCTGGGACATTCTTGGGACAAGACTACAAGAGTAACGTAGCTTGTATACTGTAGACGACGCACGGCAGAGAATGACTCAAATTTGGGACCTGGACCAAAATTGCATAAGGTCTAATATTTTCAGCATAGGGTGTCTTTGCCGAAAAGTTATTCGAGCTCGAGACGGAAATACTCGCTACTGACCCTTTCGTTTAACTTGTGACTTCACATTCTGTTTCGTGTTTTCGTTGTTAAATTTGGATATTAATTTTCCATAAAACCATATGTTACGCTATGAAATGATGTTTTATGAGTAATAGGGAAGATAATGGAGTAAATCCAAAAAATGTTGAAGAAAAATAAGGCTAGAGTGTAATTTCAATCCTAACTTGATTGTGTAACTGTAACACTACATGGTATTATAAATTTCATGAAAAACTCACGCTGATGCAATAGCGGTATGTATAAAAAAAGAGGTTTTTATGCAAATACAGTTTGCACACCAACCAGAAGGAGATATCCTGTCATTTTAAACAAAAAACGTTAACTGGCATCAAGTTCACTTTTATTCAAGGGCTATCTTACCTTTATGCACCACCACCTTCTTTCAATTTTATACTCTTCTTCTTGATCAAAACATAGTCCTCTGCGTTATAACATTCAGTGATCACATAATTACAATAAGAATCATTCATTCATATTGTTTTCAAAGTCTAATTTGAACATACGACTAGAATTCTCAGAATTTCCAACCACATTTCGGAAAAAGAAGAGGAACAAATTGCTTCTCTGACTTCTGACAGCATCGCGCCTGCGCAAGTAACAGTTTTATTTGTATTTGTCGTTAAAAAATAAAAGTTGGTAATCTCTTAGCGAATAGTTACTGAAATATGAAATTCAATTCAGGTGCATTAAAAATGAATGAAGCGGCTCGCACAGCGGCATTCAGTCAGCTAAAAATACACCCCGGAATCACACTATATACTTGGAAATGTCGAGCATTATTATTATCACCCTCATGAACTCAAAATTATTATAATAATAACAAGAGGGTGACTCATGAGGAGACTCACATATCCATAAGGTGAATAGAGGAAATCAATCCATTCGGAAGTTTTTGTTCCATATATGTTTTCATTGAAACGGTCAAGGTGTGCAGTGCAAATTAAAAAGCAGTTCCTCTGGCATTTTGTCTGATCTTTATGAATATGATAAAAATTGTTTGAGAAAAGTGATTAGTTGATTACATTGTAAACTTTCTCGACATAACAAATTAATTTTTCCCAAGTCCGGATCTGCAGAATTTCAGCTGATGAAATAACGGCCAATTTCACATAGTCCCCTGTTTCCTCGTTATGATTCGCCAAAAACAATTTTCATATAATTATATACATCAAGTCATCTTGATTTCGTCTATTCACCATTTCGGTATGTGAGTCTCCTCATGAATCACATATAAACTTGAACTCACCAAGCTTTTTCGTAACGACACAAGTCGTAAATATCACGTATGACGGTAGCATTTAGTGAATATCTGAATCCCAGTCTTCTGAAAACGTCTCTAGTCATCTTCATGTATTCGGAATTCTGCAAGAACCTTTCTGCTTCAGATGTTACGGCTGTGTTGTTATCAACATTTTCTGACCACTTAGGACAATTCTCGTTAGGCTGGAAAAATATCATGCACCAACTTATTTGTAAATTCAATTCTAGTTTAAAACAGCTATGTCACAACTACAAATATATCTAGATTATCAAGTTTCAGACCAATAATCATATACTAGATATTATGAGGAGCCAGAAAGAACCTGACGATTCAATGTTACCGATTCGAAGTAACCAATAATAAACATTGATGGCACTCAATTCGTTTCATTTTGGTTCCAGTGTAACTTCAGTTCATCGAAACAATCATGATGTGTTCATCAGTTTGATAACATAATTTTTTCCTGGCCTATTATGATGCATTGAAGAACATAAAGTTCTTGTTTGGGCCAGGTTAGGTTATTATGACTATAACCGCTTCACTAAACCATTTCCTGGGAATATTGAGATACCCATCCAGTGCAGGTGCCTTCTTAGTAAATTTCTATTTTGCTGTTTCAATGACTTCTGCGCGACTCTATAGACTACATACTCAGTATGATGATGCCATGTGTAGTGGCCTTTTTCAATGCCAAATACTTGCCCTAGGAAAGTGAAAACCTCGTCAGATATACCAAATATCCCAATGTGTCTAGAGTCTGAAATGAAATTTTGATTTCATGATCTGCTAAAATTGAAATATTGATCATAGATGATAAACAACATAAAAAAATAGAACAAGAAGAAACATCAATTATCATCAGATCAGAATTTTTTACGATGGTATCTCTGAATGTATTCTCTGAGTACCTGTGAGAATTTGAGAGGAAAATATCGTAAAATTTCAATATTATATTTGGTGCACTCCGATGTGCACTCCCACCAGAATTTTAAATGGTTAAATCCACTATAAAAAAAAACGAAATGCTATTATATCAAATGATATCAACAAGTAGAAAATGATCGATGCGGATGTATTCTTTGATGCAGAAAAGGTTTTTCATCAAGCATGCCGTAAACAAAATTGGTGCTTATCAATCTGCTTTAGGTAGGATATACAGGATGGAACATAAGTACGTTGGAAAATTCAAGAGACGTATTCCAGAGACAATTTTGAGAAAAAAGTCTAGACAAACTTGTGTCCGGAAATGCTTCGTTTCAAGGATACAGGGTGTTGAAATTGAATTTTTTTGTTCACTTTTCGAAAATAACTTTTGCAAATAATGAGTTATTGTAAAAACTTCACTAACGATGAGATTTACACAAAATTCTTAGTCACACGAAATGTTTCGCTAATACAAAAGCTTCGTCCGGTGAAATTCTGGTATGAAAGAAACTAACCTTGGCTTGCCTAAACCTATATTTATCCTACTGCTACTGCTACTAACATGAAGGATTAGAATTACCTGTTGAAACGTTCAACAAACCGTCATTTTCGGAAAATATGGATAATATCTACATTAAAATACGGTGTATCGGATTAAATTGAACGGGTTGATAGCTAATACATATTATCACCTACCAAGAAAACAAATTCAACAGTGATGAACTATATTGAGGTCTTATTGATCGTCAAGTAAAATGTTAGAATTGTTGCTTTGCTGATTTTTAATGATTCAAACTGATCGAGTTTTATTTCTTTATTTTCTACTTGTAGAATTTCGAGATTGTCATGTGTGACGATTGTCAAGTTAATCCGTTACACCGTAATTCAATGTAGATATTGTGCCTATTTTCCAAAAATAAATGGGGTTTATCGAACCTTTCCTCAGGTTCTAATCCTTCAGGTTGGAGAAGTAGGATATACAGGGTGGCATTTAAATAGGTGCAAATTTTTCAAACAATGAGAATGCTCGACGTGTACTATGGAATGGCACTAATGAAGAACATTTGGGGATGAAAATAAAATTTGAGGTTAGACCCTTTTTTCCACCCAAAGTTCTACACTGTAACAAATCTGACATCACCTCTGTTCATTGTATAGTAGACACAATCACGTGACGTGGAGTTCAATCATTCAAACTGTTTTAAAGTGGCGTACTTGGTTTTTTTCATATTTTGTTCAATTTTTCGTTAATTAAAGAAAAAAAAAAGAAAAAATCTGATATCATAGGAATATTACTCAGACTGTATAATATTATTGTGCTGGATATGTGCACTTATTTCAAAAACACATTGTATATAAATTCAGACAAGCCAAGGTTAGTGTATTTCATTGTACCAGTATTTCACCTGAGGAAGCTACTGTGTTAGCGAAACATGTCGTGTGACTGAGAATTTTGTGAAAATTTTAATTTTTTTTTGTTTTTTATCGCTTGGAGCGCACGAAAATTATCTACTTTTTTGAGCAATCAAAAATCATCAATCACAATTTCTTAGCCTACTGCGGTTACAAAAACTCCAGCAAAATTAAAGGAAACGGATTAGTCATTTTTTTACAAAACATTTGATGTAGGCGATCGCTTCGGACTAATCACAAATATTCCTATATAAATTTTCACAACTATCTCATACGGGGTGTTTTTAATCAACGTTACAATTTTTCAATAATTGCACTCTTCAAGTCACCGTGTATAATAATTCATCTGGCTACAGAGTGAGATGAATAACTAATAAAATCACTGAAAATTCAGATTTTTATTATGAAATGAAAAGAAACCGAATGATATCTATAAAAAAAATAACATCAAAAATTAGACACAGAACCGAGCACAGAACAGAACCGCTATAATATTACTATGATTGTTGTATTCTCGATGAAATTTCCTTCATTCTCTACACACTTTTTATATCCCTTTCGTACGTTATTTTCAACTCTCCTCAGTTCTTCTGGTGGTATCTGTCTGCAAACTGTTTATTTGTCCCAACTCTTTCCTATTTCATGACCTCAATTTGTAATCATTGGAGAAGACATGAAAATAAAGTGCGAAAAGAGATATGAAAAGTGTATAGAGAATGAAGGAGATTAAATCGAAAATACATAAATCTGAACGTGTTAGGAATAAACTGCTGTTTTGTTATTTTTTTGATTTTTGATGATATTTTTTTATAGGTTCCATTCTTTTTATTTCTTGATAAAAAAATCTAAATGTTCCGTGATTTTATTAGTTATTTTTATTACACTCTGTAGCCAGAAGATCTAATCCTGACTACCGTCTTGCCTGATATCATTCAAATTCTAAGAATTATTATACGCGTTGACTTGAAGAGTGCATTTATCAAAAATTGTAACGTTGATAAAAAACGCCCTGTATGAGATATTGTTCTGAAAATTGATATAGGAGTATTTGTGATTAGTTCGAATCGATTGCCTACATCAAAATTTTTGCATAAAAATTCCTAATCCGTTTTCTTCAAATGTGCTAGAGTTTTTGTGATCTCAGTAGGCTAAGAAATTCTGAACGATTATTTTTTCTTGCTGGACAAAGTAGATAATTTCGAGTAATATATCACGAGACGAAATATTTGGAAATTGCCCTAGGAATACGAAAGTGCAGGGGTGGAGTAGACCAAATTGTAACACACTGTATAAGCAAGCAAAGGTTAGTTTAGTTCATCGTACCAGTATATCACCTGAAGAAGCTACTGTGTTAGCGAAACATGATGTCGTGTATTTGAGAATTTTGTGGAAATCTTATCGTCAAGTAAGTTTTTACATTTGCCATTGATTTCCATCAGGTAACGATCGAGTAAATCGAAAGAAACAAAAAAATACGAGAAATTAAATTTCAACAACTTGTATCTCCGAAACGAAGCATTTCCGAACACAAGCCTATCTAAATTTATTTCTCAAAATTTTCTCAAGAATACGTCACTTGAATATTTCAACGTACTCATGTTATACCCTGTATTATTTCCAGGTGGTTGTCACTTCTCATCTATATCACTATATAATCTAAACCTTGCACTATAGGGTTTTCCTTCAACTCCCTAACAACACCAGTACATCCTAGGAACTTCCCATGGACGTCCCTGATTTTATACTAGGACATCCCAGGGATGTCCTTTGTCGAAACAACGTACATACTAGGGATGTCCCAGGGGCATCCGCTGGCCGCTAAAAAAGGCATCCAAGGGATGTCCTTCTGGTACGTCCCTGGGATGTACCAATTACGATGGAAGGATATTCCTAGGACGTCCCAAGGATATCCCAGGGACATCCTTTCGACAAGAGAAAAAAGTTGCAGGTCGAGTAGGGATTGAACCCGGGACCTTTGGCTTATCATGCACGCACCTTGCTCCATTGGCTATCATGCCTCCTGCAGATTTATGTACTAAACAGATTTATAAACAGGACTTAACTACAGAAACCTGAATAAATACAACTTTATTAGGAATAGGATATAATTATTATCATTGTTGGGTGTTTAAAAATGATCGAGGGGCATTATGCATGTACGATTTCTGTCTGCGAAAAATGGTAATTTCTCAAGAAGTTCTGAGACTTTATTCTTTATTTTCATTACAATCATTTTCCGGAAGAGAAACAAACATTTTCAAAAAAATTCAACTCAATAGTTTGATGAAATTCAATGACTCTTATGTGAATGGATATCAGATACTCCAGGGACACGAATAGGATAACCTAGGGATGTACCGGGCGGGATGTCCACTGGACAACCACTGCAGGACATTCCCTGGATGTCCCAATCATGTCCTTGTACCGCGGGACAAAAAAGGAACGTACCTGTGTTGTTAGCTAATACGACTCGTAATACGATATGTTTATATCAGTGATGGCCCAGTTCTATAGTAACTCTGAACCCAGAATATCATTATTCACAACTAGTTTATTGTAGTTTTTCTACCGATTGTATCATAGGGTCTATATGAGGGAACAACACCTACATAATAAAACTTGGGAACATTATTCACTGAGTAGTGAGTAGATGCATGAATATTGCAGATGATATATTGATGAAGTGAAACAAAAAACAAGAAGTCAATCAATCGAAGGTAATGATAATTATTGTTTTACACAGCATATGTATTTATTCAGTATCACCATCGCCGTAATCGCTAGAATATACCGGGTGGGCCCATCGAAAACGTTCCACGACCTAATAATGATGCACGCACGATGAGAAATTGTTTTTGGATGTATGAGAAATTGGTAATCATTAGTGATGCCCGCGAGAGTCTCGTTTTCGAGAGTCTCGCATGGTCTCGTCTTGTTTTCGATACGAGACTAGAGACGAGACTCGGACAAGACGAGACGAGACTTTCATTGGTCTCGTCTCGAGTCTCGTGCAAGACTTCTCGTGTCTCGTGCGAGAGTCTCGCAGGTAAATATTTCTGCGTGCCGACTGCAGACTTGAGAATTTCATTCATAATACAACATATGTAGAAAAAATTCAGACTATTCAGCACAGATATACTAAACATTTCATTCATAAATTCTTTAAAAACACAATTCATGATTGTGGTAAAACGTCGTAATGCGTGAAACGAAAACGGACTATATAATTTCTCTTACGGCGGAATATAATGTTGGATTAAAGTTTTTGTTTTATTTATTTGTTTAGAATTTACGTGTTACTTTCTACTTTATTTTTATAACTTTCGAATATATAATGCTATGTTTTTTTTTCTTGTTTAGATGTATGATGTAAGTATGTACCTATTAGGTACTTACTTTTCAATAAATAATGTTATTTTTGTTTTAATTTTCTCTTCCTACTTCTACATTTTACCTAAAAAGTAGGTAAAGGTAAATATCCCGTACTAGACTGGAACAAGATTATGCATGACGAAATTGCGAGACTCTCGGACGAAATTGCGAGACTCTCGTACGAGACGCGAGGCAAGACGAGACTCGAGGCTGCGAGACGAGACTCGATACAAGACTTCATATTTCATCGGCGAGACGAGACGAGGCATAAAGAGAAGGCAAACCCACACATACAGATACGGTTGAAGGACCCTGTCGACCTCCATAATTGTCCACCCTTTGGGGGTTGGGACCCTTAGGAAAAACCCTATCATTCAATTTAAATTTTGTCTTGAATTGAAATGTAACATGACCTTTTTTATATCCATGTTAATACTATCTATTTAAAATGTTTCTATTCATTTTATGAATGTCTCTCCTTGTATTGTAGGACTTCTCATGATAGGCTGAAGATGAGCATTATGTATGTCCGGAACATTTGATGTCTCAAAATTAAAAAGTTGTGGAGATGACTTCGTGCTTTCTTCATTGAATATGAAACTAACTATTGTTAGATTCGTGATCATTATTCCTAAACGGTTATTGAATGAAATGGTGTTTCATTTAGGAATCCAAATTTGATGCCCGTTCTGCTTCAATTTCCCAATTTCGGAATATGATAATGGGCGAGTGGAGTGATAATGAATTATTGTCATTCAATTACTTCACTGTGTCGTTAGGGACCTAAACTAATTCTCGTAACACTTTTCACGCTTTTTTATATTTAGATAATGAGTCTGCGTTGTTCAAAATCTTTGAATTTTCATTGCAAACGACTCTTCATGGCCGCCATTTGGCGATACGTCGAATAAATGGTGACGTCTTAATGCTGTTTCGTTATTGGTCAGATAATCTTCCATTTCCACTCACGAAGCAAGGTTGTCACGTCACCAATTATAATCAAGTTATCAGAAAGATGTTAGAGTCCTGTCGTTGAATAAAACATAATACGAAGAAGTCATGATATTATGGTTTATTCTTGACTTTGTAGAGCAACCAGCATGTCCAAATATTTCTTATACTCCATAACAAAATAGCATGTAAATGTTGGAGACTTGGCAACATTGTGCTGAATGCTGAGAATTGACTAGACGTCGCCCACAATTCGTGCGCTGTGTTGTCACGTTTACCAGTTCGAATGTGAATCAATTTAATTATTATTGAAACAACTGCATTATCATTAATGAGCCACAACACATGAGGATGAATTTTGAGACCATTGTCTTCTTATTGCTAATCAGGAATATCACAAATTCATAATTGAGAATTTACGAATTAAGATAATGCTATGGTCTGCCCATACTTATTAAATCGTCACGTCAGTTTTCACTTGCGGAAAATCTCTAGCCGTTTGAAAATAACCTTGGCATTATTGATGATTTGAGCAACTTAAAATCGACCGAAAAATTCTGAAAAAATATGAAATTGAAAGGTATTTGAGTGATGCTTCTATTCAGGAAATGGAAAAAAATAAGTCCATTCGCCAATTACAGAAGACTCATTCTTCGTCGAATTGAAATCGACCTGTCCGAGCGGCTTTTCATTAACTGCAACACAACGGAAAAAACTTGGGTGTAACATTTTTGATGAGTCACCTGGTAGGTATGAGGTGAGTTAAAGGAACTAACATAATATAAACAAAAACTCGAATTCTATGGCATGACCATGGATTCTCAATAATAGTTATAAATGTGGTATAGTGAATGTGATTTTTTTTTTCGGAAATGTTTCTTGCGGTTGATCATGCCGTTATTTCTCAAATAACAACTCATTTCATTCATCGCTTTAAATTCATAAACACCCAGTATAAACTGATTTCCGTTTACCTTGGTTAAATCCTTGGCATTGATAGTATTGGAATGAATCCTATAAGCGTCACTTCCAAAAAGTCCTTCAGCGTATGCTTGAAAACTATCGTGACTTCTGTCTTCACTCGAATATTGAAACTGAAACAAAATAATATTGTAGAATCACGATATTTTTGATTTTTCGGAACGTATGAGAGGGAATCCCTATTATGTTCTAAGGACACTGTGATCATATTATCGTGATCAGAATCATGAATCTTGAACCACCCTGTATTCGTTAATTATCAGTAAATAGTGAATTGAAAGTTGGGTTAGGGACATGTGAGCAGTTTTGACCGATAATGAAAGGTTTTGGCACAAAAAATCCTAAAGTTTATAAATCTCGCAATATATCTCGGTAATCTTTTTCGATGAACTCCAAGTGTGATATATCGATAAAATCAACTCTTCAGGGAGAATCTAAGAATGCGATGTAGTATAGGGTGTTTCATTTGAAAAATCAATGTTGCTACAATTTTCTAGTACAAGCGGCAATACTGCATTGTCGAAAATATTTCAAATGAAGAGAGCGTATTCTAAAACATAAGCATGCATGGATTTCTCCCGACTGATTCTCGAAATGAAGATAGTGTGAGGTGGTCGTGACACACCCTGTATACCTGAGTGATGGGATTATCTACCCAGATAACACTGAATATCCTATGGACATCCATTTCATGACTAACTCTGCTCGGGATATCCCTTGATTCGAAATGGACATATAAGATATCCATTGAAGGATTTGAAATGGAGATCCTTCAGTAGATATCTCATGGATATAAAATTATGAATGTTCTTAAATTGCAAGATTATTTTAATAGTTTGAATTTCCGAGTTTTCTCCACACTTGTACGAACTAAACCATCGACGGAATACCTATATACTTCGTTTCGTTTCTGGATTCGAAATGGATATCCATAAGATATCCATCGAAGGAGTTGAAATGGATATCCTTCAGTAGATATCTTATTATTTTCATAAGATATCCACAAAAATTATGAATGTTCTAGAATTGCAAGATTATTTTAATAGTTCAATTTTCCGAGTTTTGTCCACACTGAATATCCTATGGACATCCATTTCATGACTAACTCTGCTCGGGATATCCCTTGATTCGAAATGGACATATAAGATATCCATTGAAGGATTTGAAATGAAGATCCTTCAGTAGATATCTTATGGATATCCATGAGATATCCGCAAAAATTATTAATGTTCTTAAATTGCAAGATTATTTTGAAAGTTCAAATTTCCGAGTTTCCTCCACACTTGTACGAACTAAACCATTGACGAAATACCTATATATTTCGTTTTGTTTCTGGATTTGAAATGGATATCCATAAGATATCCATCGAAGGAGTTGAAATGGATATCCTTCAGTAGATATCTCATTATATTCATAAGATATCCACAAAAATTATGAATGTTCTTGAATTGCAAGATTATTTCAATAGTTCAATTTTCCGAGTTTTGTCCACACTGAATATCCTATGGACATCCATTTCATGACTAACTCTGCTCAGGATATCCCTTGATTCGAAATGGACATATAAGATATCCATTGAAGGATTTGAAATGGAGATCCTTCAGTAGATATCTTATGGATATCCATGAGATATCCGCAAAATTTATGAATGTTCTTAAATTGCAAGATTATTTTAATAGTTCAAATTTCCGAGTTTTCTCCACACTTGTATACGAACTAAACCATTGACGGAATACCTATATATTTCGTTATGTTTCTGGATTTGGAATGGATATCTATAAGATATCCATCGAAGGAGTTGAAATGGATATCCTTCAGTAGACTTATGGATATTCATAAGATATCCACAAAAATTATGGATGTTCTTGAATTGCAAGATTATTTTAATAGTTCAATTTTCCGAGTTTTGTCTACACTTGTACATAAATTAAATATCATTGACGGTTTTCCTGAATATAACATGAAAAACATGATGACGAGGAAACCCAAGACATCGATAGGGCCGTACTTTTTCCCTAAGTTGATTATTTATGTATAAATCAAGATATTCATTTTTTTCTAAATAGTGGAAGTAGGTAAGTAGTTTGTCTCCACAATCTTCAAGCAAAAATGAAAGGAAGAAGATAATCATGTCATGAAATGAAATTGTTCGACAAACTTATGTTCTTTGACTTCGCGAATGAGTAAGAAAAAACCAGAAGAAGGGGAAAATGGAGAAAAAACGAAAAAAAAAATAAAAAAAGTACTTTTGTGGTAAGGAAGAAATCACCATCATAAACCATTCCACTAAAAAACGCCAATGTATAAATTAGAAAATACCGAATATAAAAGTCAAAGATGAATTTGATCATATTTTGACCCTGGTCACGAAAACAGCTGTTCAATAAATGCATGAAAAATCTATAGAAAGAAATGAAAATCACCTACCTACGAATGATTGGAATAAACTGTTCTGTTGACTGACTCATCGAATATCAACTTGTCTGAAAGTTGATATTCGATTACTAAATATAGTGAATCAGACTAAAATAGCGACCAGGCCAGGTCCGTAATAACAAAATTAATTAATTCGTTATTTTGCAACTTTCATGCAGGTAATATGTGGTGAATTGGTTCATTTTGATGAGTTCTACATGCCTCACCCTTGAAAACACCTTGTAAGTATATTATATACCTATGTGATGGGATTATCTAGGTCCAACCCCCTTCCACTTATAGTTACTTACGTTATAAGAACGTTCATCATAACTTTGAAACAGTTGTGGGTACTTCCATTTGAATCGTCTCGCTAATTGCTTCATGTCTTCCATGCCTTGACTTGTGAGGGAGTTCGCTTTGCTCTCGGAAATGCTGTCATTGAAGCGCCATCTGTGAATCGAAGTACCAAAATAAATCAAAATTATCCAAATATAAAAGCAGCGATGAAAACATACATTTGGGGGTCCGGGGAGAGGGGGTCAATCGGCCAAAACAATTTTTCTCACCACTAGCTATAAGACCTACCATTATTTACTCCTTTTCGAGGCGTAAAGTGTGTTCGTCATTTTATTAACCACCTCTCAATAAAGACATACCCCACCTCTGTTATAATTGTAGTGATGTAAATATTTTTTCCATAACCTTATATTCCATTAAAATAATTTAAAAAACACATGTTTCTACAAACGTCAAAAAATAACATGGTTCGCGCATTGATAACAAATTGCGAAGTGACACTTTTTTTCAGTTTATTACGTTACCATGATACCTTGCACAAAACAATGCGCGAAGTAAAACAGTGAGCGAAGTACCTACTTCGCGCATTGTTATGTAAAATATATGAGATATTTATATTTCAATTTTATGGTCCTCAATCGAGCAAACATCCACGAAATCATTTTTTATTTCTGAATGTTCAACAATTCTGTTTGCCAACTCGAGTGCTAAATACTTTGGTCATTTCGACTATGTCATATCTTGATTAGTGGTGCCCGCGAGAGTCTCGTTTTCGAGAGTCTCGCATGGTCTCGTCTCGTTTTCGAGACAAGACTCGAGACGAGACTCGGACAAGACGAGACGAGACTTTCGTTGGTCTCGTCTCGAGTCTAGTGCAAGACTTCTCGTGTCTCGTGCGAGAGTCTCGTAGGTAAATATTTCTGCGTGCCGAAGGAAGAATTCTATAAGAAAACATCGGAATCGCCTTAATAATGAATCTGCACGATGTTTGTTATGTCTTAACGACTGGGTGAAAAACAAAAACATTTGCGATCGTGAAGGCTGATCTGACTGATAAAGGTTTTTTTCTGCAACCGACACAAAAGTCGTCCATTTTGATACCAAAATTAGCTCTTGAATTGACGTTTCTATTACTGACACTAAAATAGGTATGTTGCTAGGCAACATATTTAGTTCCTAGGAGCTAAAGTTGAATTTTAGTTCCTAGGAGCTAAAGTTGAACTTTAGCTCCTAGGAACTAAAAAAGGATGTACTGGACGTCATCAAAAATAAACAACATTGTGACGGTTGGTTATTTGGGTTGAGACGCATATCTGATTTGTTTCCGATTTCAGCAGATTTGGCATTTCATACCCATGCTGGAGATAAAAAGACACCTTATTATAGTTTAGTATTGGAATTATGAACATCTCAGCTAAGTATTTTTGTTTGATCAGGGAAGCCTTCAAGATTCAAATACTTGCTTGATCTGTATTTCATTCGTTATTCTCGGGATGGATAACTTGTTTTTGAATAATCACGGCAAGCAATAGTTTTTTGTCTCAATCAACGATATTGTTTAGATTAATTTTATTATCAAGTCAAACACAGTGTAGTATGGAGAGGAATAAATAACCACTATCATCATTGTTGATATGCTAACTAACCTAACATTCACGTCTTGTTCCTATAGCTGGCACTGGCTCGGTATTTGCCATTAGAGCACCTGGTCCATACACAAATATGTCACTCTGTGGTTGTATTTATATTGAAACTACAATTCTAACATCGTTGAAAACCTAACCTGCTGTTAATGCAGGTAGAATATTCTTACCACATGGATTATTTGTCAATATTTGTTGAATTGCCTACATATGCCACGGCATTGGTGGTTACTTCACATGTTTATTTGAGTCAATTGTTTCGGTTGCAGAAAAAATAGCATGTTTCATTCGGATCAAAAGTGACTTTGTTCGACTCGCAAATTTTGCTCTCGCTCGGCTTCGCTAAACGCTCCGCCTCGCAAATGCAAAATTCGCTTGTCAAACAAAGTGTCACTTTTGATCCTAATAAAACAATCTACTATTTTCTCCAAGCGGCAGAGATAGTGGCTTTTTCCTGCCGCTTAACAGGCAGAAAAGGTGTACTTTTACTGCCTAGGCAGAAAAAGTTTGTTGCTATGCAACGTTCCAAGAAATTCTAATGAAATTTGTAATCAAAATTGACACTGACATATGGTGAACACAAAATGATGGAGTTTTCAATGAAAAAATTACACAAAATTGGTTTTATATCATTTGGAGGGAAAATTCTATATTTCACAGGGCAGAAAATGTAGATAGACAACTTTTCTGCCTAGTAAAACAAAAAACTATTTTCTAAAATACCTATTTCTCAAATAAGTAAAATAATGTTGGATTAAAGTTTTTGTTTTGTTTATTTGTTCAGAATATACGTGTTACTTTTTATTTTATTTTTATAACTTTCAAATATATAATGCTATGTTTTTTTTACTTGTTTAGATGTATGATGTAAGTATGTACCTATTAGGTACTTACTTTTCCATAAATAATGTTATTTTTGTTGTAATTTTCTCTTCCTACTTCTACATTATACCTAAACAGTAGGCAAAGGTAAATATCCCGTACTAGACTGGAACAAGATTATGCATGACGAAATTGCGATACTTTTGCGAGACTCTCGTACGAGACGCGAGACAAAACGAGACTCGGGGCTGCGAGACGAGACTCGAGACAAGACTTCATATTTCATCGGCGAGACGAGACGAGACTTTATGAAAGTCTCGTCTTGTTGGTCTCGTGTGAATCACTAATCTTGATCACCAAAGTAGCATTTCGCGCTCTAGATACAAAAATAACCATTTTATATAATATCACGAAAATAAGGAATTAGTAAACATAAATGAGAACGCTTACTATTTTTATTACCTCCTATGTAATTAGGTGTATTTTTTCTAATTGTTTATACATGAATGTTATCAGCTCTTTAACTGATTGTATCAGTGGATGCTTATATGGGTAACAACCTGTTAGTATCCCAAATTTCAAACAAATTAATAAATGAATAAATAAATTAACTTGAATTCACTGTTCTGATGCCTGATTCCCATTAATGGCACTCGAATCTAGCCCTTACGCTCCGTACCCTCACAATTGTACGGGCATTATCTAAGTGATTTATAAGGATCAAAATATCATTCTGCTGTATTGAGAACCAGCCACTATACTTGTGAGTGTTCTATTTGCACGGAACAAACCGTTTTTGCTGCTTATTTTATTTTCAGGCGGCGTAAAAAAAAATCATTGTGTGGTGCAATTGGTCTCCACTGAAAAATGTTTCCTGAAGGTGAGTGAATCAACTAAACTGCTCCACATTTGAAGTGAGACAAGCGAACATTTTGTTTGTTTTCGAACCGTGATAACTTTGGATGAGATCAACCGATCTTTGATTAGTTTTGAGATTGTGATTGCCCAGTTGATTGGCTATAACATATTTTTTTTACGTTTCTCCACCATTTCGGAATTATGACCTACAGGATGATATCTGAAAGTGTGATACTTTCCGAAAAGTTTGAGGTCGCCCCGTTAGCAGGATATTTTTTGTTAAATTTTTCTGACGGCAAAAACATGAAGCCTAATGTGTTTCCTCGAAATGGTTTCGGATTCATCAAGATCCATACAGGATGTTTTGAGATATGCAATTTTGAACAACATAATGGCTATTCGAATTTTTTGAATACCTTAAATTCATTGGTTAACCCCTCGGTATAATATGTTGTCTGGGAAATAATCAGAAATTGTCAAACATTTGATTATTGTAATAAAATATGCCACGACTAACTAATGAACAATTACAAATGGTTCTCAGAATGAGAGATGGTGGTTTGAATGTTGAAGACATTGGACAGTATTTCGATACATCAAGAGCTTCAATATACAGGGCAATCCGTCGTCACGATCGAACAGGAGATCCTAATTATCGTCACGGAGGTGGACGACAACGGAAGACTTCAGATAGAAATGATAATTTCTTAGTTACTTCGGTACGTCGTCTTCGAACACAGACTGCTGGACAACTGAACTGTGCACTAAGAAATGCAACAGGAGTTGTTGTCTCAGATGAGACAATCAGAAGAAGGCTTCATGAGCGCAATCTGAGAGCGAGAAGGACGGCATCTTGTACTTTGTTAAAGCTGAACCACAGGATAGCTCGAAGACTTTGGGCTCAGAACCATTTGAACTGGGGAATAGCTGATTGGAGGAGATGTTTATTCGTTGATGAGAGTAGGTGTAATATGTTCAGATCAGATGGAAGGATTTTAGTATGGCGAGAACGGGGTGAGAGGTTTCTGGAGGAAAACATGGAGGCGCGGGTGGCATTTGGGGGTGGGGGTGTTACGATATGGGGCGGTATCATGATGAATCATCGCACCACGTTGGTTATTTTGAGGGAAAGTATGAATGCTGTTCGATATCGTGACATGTGTATAAGAGATGTTGTTATACCAGTTGCTCAAAAGTTTGGAGACAATTTCGTACTGGTCGATGATAATGCACGACCACATCGTGCGAGAATTGTAACCGAAGTTCTGAGACAACATAATATTGAAAGAATGGAATGGCCACCCGTATCTCCAGACATGAACCCAATAGAACATGTATTGGCTAGGTTAAAATTATGTTTAAAGAGAAGAGAAGGTGAAATGATGAATATTCAACAACTGGAAGATGCGATAGTGGAAGAATGGACAGCTATTCTCCAAGATTTCATTGATGGCTTGATAACAAGTATGCCGAGAAGAGTTAGGGCTCTCGCAGCGGCCAGGGGTGGTGTAACAAAATATTGATAATCGACCACATCTGCCGTTGTTAATTTTTCTTTATTAAAAAAATATTGTGTTACGTATTATCTGTATCCTCTTCGTGGTATATGTTCATCAATTCTCATTCTCTATATCCACTGAAAAAAAACATCCTAGCTTTGACAATTTCATTCATAAAATAACCACACTCCACATTCACCTTATTCCTCCCTGCGAACTAACCCTGAAGGTTTTTCGTTCAATCACGAAATCACTTTTGCTAATCCATGATATTGCATATCTCAAAACATCCTGTATGGATCTTGATGAATCCGGAACCATTTCGAGGAAACACATTAGGGTTCATGTTTTTGCCGTCAGGAAAATTTAAAAAAAAAAATATCCTGCTAACGGGGCGACCTCAAACTTTTCGGAAATTATCACACTTTCAGATATCATCCTGTAGGTCATAATTCTGAAATGGTGGAGAAACGTGAAAACAATATGTTATAGCCAATCAACTGGGCAATCACAATCTCAGAACTAATCAAAGATCGGTTGATCTCATCCAAAGTTATCACGGTTCGAAAACAAACAAAATGTTCGCTTGTCTCACTTCAAATGTGGAGCAGTTTATATACGATATTGTGAATGATTTTATGCATTGAATGACAAATATAATCATGATTCAACATGGTGGTTCACAGTGGCTGTTTCCAAAATTTTTTCGGGATCAGATTTCAGGACATACTTGTGTACCATCACATTTGTGTGCTCCGAGAGCGTACCGCTATGGATCAATGACCATTATCGATTTTGATTTAAACATTTCAGTGTGTCAAAACTGTCCTGCATTCCAAGAATTTTGAATTGCAAAAAGATCAAGATGAAATTTACGAATTGTTGGATCAGATAGGATTAAATCTGGAAATCGAGTCCGATTAAGATGACCAGTGGGAGGTGAATGCACATGAACATGTAGAAGTGCTGGAGGAATATTCGTTGAGTGGGTGGATGAAAATGCCAATTAACCAAACGTTCTTCTTGCAAATAGAGAAGCTTCTAATTCAACAAATGACAAACAATATGATGAAATTGACCACTGGCCTGTCATTGATTCTCCGAAATCACCACGTACTGGCTGACTGGAAAGTTGCGGGAGCCGTTCAAGGACGAGGTGTTAAAATTGCAATGTACGCCTATGCCTGTGCTTGAACAATGAAAATAATTGTTTCGTCACTTTTCATAACAAAACATAAACAATAATAGTAGATTGTTTTATTAGGATCAAAAGTGACACTTTGTTTGACAAGCGAATTTTGCATTTGCGAGGCGGAGCGTTTAGCGAAGCCGAGCAAAAGCAATATTTGCGAGTCGAACAAAATCACTTTTGATCCGAATGAAACATGCTATTTTTTCTGCAACCGAAACAATTAACTCAAATAAACATGTGAAGTAACCACCAATGCCGTACCATATGTATGCAATGCAACAAATATTGACAAATAATCCATGTGGTGAGAATATTCTACCTGCATTAACAGCAGGTTTGGTTTTCTAGGATGTTCGAATTGTAGTTTCAATATAAATACAACCACAGAGTGACATATTTGTGTATGGACCAGGTGCTCTAATGGCAAATACCGCGCCAGTGCCAGCTATAGGAACAAGACGTGGAAAATGTTAGGTTAGTGAGCATATCAACAATGATAATGATAATAGTGATTATTTATTCCTCTCCATACTGGCATACTACACTGTGTTTGACTTGATAATCAAATGAAGCTAAACAATATCGTTGTTTGAGACAAAAACACTATTCCTTGCCGTGATTATTCAAAAACAAGCTATCCATCCCGAGAATAACGAATGAAATACAAATCAAGCAAGTATTTGAATCTAGAAGGTATTTATCAATAACGACTTGTCATATTATGCTGTCATGGTCACGGCTACTAGATTATAATTAGAATTGAAAAGAGGTACTTTCATAGTGACAATAGGTTCATATTTCAGTTTTACAGAACTAAAATGATTGGAATGTATTGCTAGTGGTGAAAAAAATTCAGTATACACCTTGGTATTAAAGAATATAATTACCGCAGAACCACATACCCCTCGGCTGAAGCCTCGGGATATAATCTTATTGGTCCCTGGGTAATACTGATATTCTTCACTACCTTGGTGTACAAATATCAGAGAAAGGATAAAAAAGTTGTTATTTCAATAGTTCAATCTGATAAAGATATGAACTCAGAAAAAACGGTGGCGTACAATGACATTCATCATAAATATCGATAAATTCACCCACTGTGACGCCACTGGAAATATTATTTCGAGCTCAATTGCACCAGAAGAAGTTCCATACTACTTTTAACAAAATCACAACGTTTTATTGAAATTGATGGGAAAACAATTGAGTAATGAATTAAAAACGATTTTTCGAGGAAATATTGAAACCCTGTATCTCGAAAACGAAGCAAGTTAGGACACAAGTTTATATGAGCTTCATTTCCTAAAATATCACAACGAATCACCCCTCGAATTTCTTCGGTGTTATTTATATACACCCTGTATATTCATGGTTATTCATACGGTTGAAATCGCACGTCCAATAGCTGAGATATGGAAGGGGGGACTCATATACTGACGACTCAATTTTCAATCAAATCATCAGTAGACTATTCAAAAAGGATCAATCAAATCACTTAATACAACGATATGGGTTGCGTGCAAGAACTGTCAGATGACCGACGCTGGAGGCAAAACATTGAAACACAACGTCACTTTTCTTATTTCGCTCATGCCATCACATTATGCTGTTGTGAAATGCACAAAAACTGCAGCGGAACACGCAGTAATCCGGTTGGTACATTATGATTAAAAGTAAGTACCCACTATAGTCACTCACATATAGTTTTCTTTTTTGAAATTTGGTTATTTCTCTGATTTCTCATCAAAATTCCTTCTGCGATGGGAGCTAATAGAAATACACCTGAAATTTCAAAAACAATGCATGAAGATTGGATTCATGCAATCAATCCGGAGGACTGGTCTAACATGCTGACGATCGTGTGTGTTGTAGACATTTTCAATCTATTAGCAGTATTAGCTTGTATTGCAGAAGTGGCAGAAGGCAGAAGGAATTTCAATAGGGAATGACAACATTTCATGATGATAACTATGTGAGATTACTATTTACCTGAAAAATCATATTCTTTAGTCTCTTGCTGCATTTTTTTGTGCATTGTACAACAGCACAATGCGAAGGCATGCTCGAATTAATGAATAGAGCAAAAAACACGATTCGTATGCCAAAATATTGTGAAAAACTATTTCAATCTTTTGATTCTTCTGTAACCACATAAAAAAGTGAGGTTGTGTTTCAATAATTGCCTCCAGGGTCGGTCATTGTGCACGCGACCTATTCTCACATCGGAATCATTCTTCAACTCAACTTATATAATGAAACCTTCATTGTTAGATCATTGTCGGCTGAATGTGAGAAAAAATCAAGTTGTCTGGAGTCCAGGCAACTCGATTTTTTCTCACATTCAGCCGACAATGGTTAGATGTTGTTACCTGATGAATAGTTCATAATCCTTGGGACATAACCTTCCCCTATCTGGATACGATCTTCTGTCATGGTAGTTTTTGGCGATTTCTTCGTGCAGTCTACTCAAGCCCCGCAATTTCTTTATTTCTTCGACATCAGGTAATCTGGTTCCATGTCGTATCAAACTCCAAAACTGTACTGCAGTGCATTCTAAAATTCATATCCCATAATATAACCTAACCATATATTCTGCTCTGGAAGGAAATTGTCGCCATATTGGATTTTCTTTGCGTTTTGTAGTAAGATATCGTAGCAAATCCACAAGCAAAATGAATCTAACAGATATAGGTACGTGGTGGATTGGGAGAGTTCTACCAAAAATGGCATATCATGAGTAATTTGGCTCATACAGAGCAGAGAAATTTGTTATTGGTACCTATTTCCTCACCATCGTTTAGATATCTTGTTTGGAGCTTCGCGAGACCACAAGTCCAGTCTCTTAATGAATCTTCCCAAGACCAAGAGCAAGACTTGACTTTCGAGATCAAAACTAAGACCAAGACCAAGACTCTCTCCCAAGAGTCTTGGTCTTGGTTTCGAAAGAAATATAATGAATTCAAATCTACTCAATATTAAGAGAAATCTGATCGAAAATGTTATGGCATTTCATTTCAGTTATTCATTTGTCATATGGTAGGTTCAAAATTTTTGTTCACTCAAAATCCGAAATATAATTGTCAAATTCAGTATTGCAGTTTTAAAGTTTACAACAAATACTTAGGTGTATGTTGTAAGGTCACAGTAGTCCGTACCTCCTCCTATTGAAGATAGAAACAAATTTAATTCAAAAGTTATTAGGTTTGGGTTTGAAATTTTTTGAAATATTTTGATAATGCGTTGTTGTCAGTTCCGACCCTATTGAATCTTTTTTCTGACCTGTCGGGCGTTCGCCTGTTTGCCGTTTGGGTCTCATTCGATGTTTATTCAAGGTTTCTTAAAAATTATATTCTTATGATAATAGGAGAAATTTATTTCGCTCATTTTATACGCACAAATCGACAATTTGATCAGTCTTAGTCTTGGTCTCATGGCGAAAAATCCTTAATCAATTAAAAATAATCTCAATTGAAATAAAATCTACTAGGGTTCTTTGCGAATTCGTTGGTCACTTTGTTGACGAAATCGTTCGAGTTTTTGAAAATATGTTGCCTGTGTACACTCATCATTGCGAGACCATTGAGTCGAGCTTCCAGACATGGTGCTCCTCAACCAGGTTTTGATTCTCATAAGGCTACTAAAATCCTTTCAACCGTACAAGTCTCACGACGTAAAGCAACAAGAATTTTCAAAACCTTAATTTCAGGAAAAAAATCTGCTTTCCGAAGTTCGTGGCTCAAAGTGAGCGTTATTATAAGTAATATCACGATGTTCTGAATATTCGACATAATTCTGTCGCTTCATTGTTCACGAAATTGTGGTACCGACCAACATCACGAGTCCGTCAGGACGAGTGGTATTGCTTTACGGCAACACAATTGAGTTAACAATGAAAGACAAGATCATGAGAAGATATTCAGAACAGAGTGGTATTTTTTTTATGTTCTTGTTCCCACGAGAAGGGATATCCTGTAATGTTCAGAGAACATCGTGAGAACCAAGGGAAATAAGGTAGGAGTTGGTGTTCTTCTTAAATTTCTGGAGGTTATATGACTCAGGGAACACACCTCCCTTGGCGATGTGTTCCAGTTGTAAAGAGATGTTCTGCAGGTCTCCAAAGTGACCACGAAGGGGTGCGAAGCCTCAACTCGACGAGTTAATCTCGCGGGGACTGCCAAGGGAGGAACAATTGTTGATATTCCAGAAGAGCATCGTCCATGAAAATATCTATAAAATAGAGCCAGATCGCCAAATTTTCTACAATGTTCCAGAGAAGTGAGTGAGTTTGTGAACGAGGCATCACCCACTAGACGAATTATTGCCCTTTTCTGGACAGAATCCAACAGTTTCAGGGTATGTTTGGGTGCTGCGCGCATTCACAGGTCGTATCATAGCCTGATAGATCATGAGCAGCTGACTGGAAGTGAAATAGCTCCTGGCCCGAAACAGAAAACCAAGTTTTTGGGATGCACTTTTAGCAATTGATCTCACGTGATTTTCCCAAGAAAGGTTATTGCTGATAGTGATACCAAACATCGAAATGGATTGCTTCAAAGGTATGGTTACTCCTGACAAGCTTATGTTGGGCATAGTGAGATCGGCTTTTCTAGACTATTTCACGTTCACGAAGCATATGAAGCATTTATTATAAATGATAGTGATTCATTCTGACAAGTACAGCCATATTTATTTTAGGCCAAACTGACAGTCTTCGCTTCACTATCCATGGTTACATTGTTGAAAACATCAACGTTTATAGACCAATCAGAATTGAAAGACAGCTAATGTTTTCACGAGGAGCACACGTTGTCTCTGGCTAGTGATTGGTCAGATTATGTGATGAGTAAAATAGCCCCTCTGGCAACGACTTGTGAGTTGGCCATGAGTTGAAGCTGCATTTGCTCTGCATTGCTAGCATTATGTTGCCTTTTTTTCGTCTTTTGGAGCGCACGGGAAGAAATCGAGTGTTTCTAGGGAGGATAGGGAGAGAAGGTAGGTTTGGTTTGTTTTTATTCTTTCGAAATTGTAAGTTCTTGGGAATACTCTTCCTTTGGAAAGAATCTGAAAGCTTTGACGATAGACAAACAAGTTTTGTTGAGGAATTGTTCGATATATTTGGAGATTGACGACAGCATAACGATATGCTGCCTGAGTTTGTCGAGTAGATATCTGACTGGTATTGTGATTGACGGAATGATAGCGCAGAGATATACATAGAGAAGTAACAGGGCGCCGACTTTTCTACAATGTTCCAATCATTTCAGAGAACTAGTTCGTTTTCGCCCATCAGGCGAATAGATCGTCTCTGTACGGATTCAAAGAGCATCAGCTTATGTTTGGGTGCTGAGGTGCTGAACCCCATTAGAAGGGTGTTCCAGTCTCAAAGTACACAAATACTATATTTTCATCAAACCTGGTATTAGATGTTGAGATTCGCTCCTCCTATGATTGAGATTATCGTAAGCAGTTTTGGTGGCGAAGTTCAAATACGGTTCCTCATCTGTTCCGTAGCAGTAATCTTCACAACAATCATCATTTCTGTTGTCTCCAACTCCTTGGTTGTTGAAATTATTTTGACTTGTTGTTAAGGTGGTGAAGAGAAACAGCAAGAGTACTTCATTCAGCGACATTTTTCTGAAAAACAGAAATACAATAATTATTATCATATTGTTATCAAAAGCACAATTGAACAGTTGTAGCTTTCATATTGTTGAGTATGGGAAAAACCATAATAATATACTTATAATCATAATAATCACTCTTTTGTTATATTGTGGTTCCCACGAAAAGGGATATCACGTAATGTCCAGAGAACATCGTGGGAACCAAGGGAAATAAGGTAGGAATTGGTGTTCTTCTTGAATTTCTGGAGGTTATATGCCTCGGGGAACACCTCCTTGGTAATGTGTTCCAGAGCCTCGCTGTTCGTTGGATGAACGAGTCTTTGGAAAGAGATGTTTGGCAGGTCTCTAAAGTGACCACGAAGGGGTGCGAAGCCTCAACTCGACGGGTTAACCTCGTGGAGACTGCCAAGGGAGGAATAATTATTGATATTTCAGAAGAGCAGCGTCCATGAAAATATCTATAGAATAGAGCCAGATCGCCAATTTTTCTACGGTGTTCAGAGAAGTGAGTGAGTTTCTGAGCGAAGCATCACCCACGAGACGAATTGCCCTTTTTTGAAGTGAAATAGCTCCTGGCCCGAAACAGAAAACGAAGTTTTTGGGTTGCACTTTTAGCAATTGATCTCACGTGATTTTCCCAAGAAAGGTTATTGCTGATAGTAATCCCAAGCATCGAAATGGATGTCTTCAAAGATATGGTTACTCCTGACAAGCTTATGTTGGGCATGGTGAGATCGGAAGTTATTGGATCCCCATTCGAGAATTGTTGCCAAGTCTATATTTATGTCGTCAACATTTCTCCCTCGTTCGTTTCTGATTTGCCTTGTTGGAATTGGAGCCCTGGAAGAGAAGGCGGTATGGAGGGTACTATCATCCGCGAAGCTGTGTACAGGGTGGGCCAAATTCGATGGGATTTGGGGTTTTCTCTGAAACTATCAGTGCTAAACAAAAACCGACCACGGTGTCCTGAGCTTGATTTTCGTGAAAAAAACAATGGCGCAAACCGCGATTGTCTATCTTTTTTGGCTGCCGAACTACAGAGCGTTTTTGAGATTTTACCTTTGATTGGTGACGTCATTATCTCGATCACCGTGAGTCCTGTCAAAAAATGAATAACACTTTCTCATAGCAATCTTTTGAGTTGAATCGATTACTGATAAGAACAAAATTATTCATCGAACAGTTTTCGAGATATGAACCTAATTTAATTTTTTTAAATGGAACACCCTGTGAATTATTCCACCATTCGATCATAATTTCAATTACCTTTCGAACGATATATCATATACTATAGTTACTTCGAGAACAAGTGGTTGTTTTTCGAAAAATCTGATATGAGTCCATGAAAAACTGAAGAAAAATATAATAACTAACTAGCTTTATCAAATTCACAAATATTCACGTTTATTTGATAATTATCATTCAAAACTGTGATAAAGTTCGAAATATTTAGTTCAACTGAGATGCGAATTGTTTCCTATTGTCGTCTTCCAATTGCATTTCATTATTTTCCTTATACTTCTCAAGAAGGCCATGGAGAAATGACAACCATAATCCATTAATTATTATTATTGTCAACTGTGACGCTTATTCACAAAAAATGGTTCAATTTAGTAATGAAGAGAAATATGATATGCTCAAGTGTTTTATCGAAAGTGGAGAAGATGAAAACTTAGCTTCTGAACTTTATTTCAATAGGTAAGTGATAGAATAATCGACAGTGAAACGGTTGTCTAAAATTAACAGTCAAATCATCTTATAGATACCCAGAGAAAATACAACCAAACCCAAAAATATTCAAAAGGTCACAGTCAAATTTGAAAGATTTCGGATCTTTTGTCAAACCTCGCCCAAAAATTTAATATAAACCAGAAAGAGAAGCTGCTCAAAATATAATAGTAAAAACTGTCAGAGATAATCCTAATATATCATCCCGCGAAATAGAAGAAAATTTAGGGATGCCGAAAACAACTGTGTTACGTTGCCTACGGAATTAGAATCACCCACCACTTGTTCCTAAACGATTTTGAAAGACGTACGTTTAGATTTTTGCCACTGGTTTTTACACAAGTGCAATGAATCGCCAGGTTTTGAAGGAACTGTCATATGGACGGACGAGACCCATATAAGCAGTGCCGGAATCTTCAACAGACATAATAAACACGTTTTTCCCCCGAAGGGTAAAAAACGGATATTTTAGGTCTTGCCTAGGCTTGACCCTAAGTGAGATTACAACTTTGCTTACCTGTTCGTCCGACCGTCCGTCATCTCTCTAGACCGCTTCAAATGTGAAACAACCTTTAAATAGTTCACGTCGCAGTGCCGCGCGCCTGTGCAGACCATCCTTTAGGTCTCCCGTGTAGACGCGAGGCGCGCTGGTATTACTTCAGTGACTTCTCAATGATTCGTCGTTAAGAACTTGAATGGGTCAAGCCTAGGCAAGACCTAAAATATCCGTTTTTTACCCTTCGGGGGAAAAACGTGTTTATTTTAGGGTCTGTGCCGTCGGCTTGACCCTAAGTGAGAAGTGTTTGTTTCTGACGACGTGGGAAGCGTACTGTGAATAAAATAGGAGCCACAGGAATGCAATTCTCAAAATTTGTTTACTCATCATCAAAGGAAAAACTGAAACAACTGCCTTTATCCAGTAATAACGATAACATTTAAAATCGAACAACAAAACTCATTCTAAACAAAAACTCCTCAATACATCGTTCCAATGCTAACGAAAATATTGATAATATAACTATAACTGATTACTAATTGGCTAAACAGGTACAAAGGAAATTTGAGTCAACCTATCAGCACTATTTGAACGATGAGGTCTATCGATTTCTTTAAAATAATACTTGAAAACGTTTTTGCTTCCCTTCCAGTTGCCGGCCTTCAAAATGGTATCTAGGGGAACCTCATTATGGTATCTTGACGAAGCAACAGCTGATCTTATACTCCCAGGGGATGAAACTATACCTGCTGAGATAAAAGCCGTTCTTACCCAGCCGGCAATGACCGACCTAGAGGCTGGTTTAGCTCTACCCCTAGTCGTAATAAAAAGTTCTGAGAGTGCTGGACAACTATCTCTCCTGCCAGATCCTAAAGCGATGAGATGTTTAATCCAAGAAACCGGATCCAAAGAACCATCGTCATTCCTCAACAGTTTCCATCCAGATTGCCGATGAGAATTCGAGTCGGTCTTGGACCCAAAAAGCGGCCAAAATATAATCGAAGAAGACTCGTCACATTCCATATGGACATTATCTATCCTAAGGAGAGTCAGATCGTGAATTCTTCTACCAGAGGCCAATAGTAGTAGTAAGGCGACTCGTCGGGAAACTTGGAAAAAACTGTTTCTGTCAATGTCCTCATTTTTCAACCATTCCATGAGATCACAAACATTCCAAACAAGAGTTTTTGCCGAAGGAGGGTTAGCATAGTCAATGGCCCGTAGCATATGTTTTATCAGAGGATGACCGGAAATGAGCTCGGATTTCAAAGGGTCAGAAAGGGTGGCTATGACCGATTTGTGAAGTTTGATTGTGGCTGGAGCCATTTTCTTTATCCGATGAAGAAACCCAAGGTACTGAGCTACTTGTGCTGGATCTGGATTCTTAGGAGCTATGCCATTAGCTCTTGTGTAATTGAGCCAACCTTTCCATGGTGCCCTGTAAGTATTCAGGGAGGATTTTCGCCATGATTTCTCCAAAAGTTCCTTGTCCTCTAATTGCCAACCCTGGAGATATTGAGACCACCCCGTATTTTCCAAACCTCCAAAAATAGCTTGCTGGCCTGTGGAAGGGGTACTGAGGTTGTTGCATCGATCAAGTTCTCCTTCAGGTTCTGAACCCGTAACGGGGCCGCCAGTGCTCTCCTCCGTAGGTCTGCTCTCCAGAATACTTTTTCCCATCTGGGGACTACTAGGAGAAATGTGCCCCTCGCGTCGTTGAGGTGTCGTAGAACTCTCGGAATCAGAGCTGGTGGGGGAAATATCCAAGCCAGCTCGTACACCCATCTTCTGCTGAAAGCGTTGATGAAGACTGCTTGTAGGTCTCTCGAATCTCTGGTCACATATTTGGATACTACTCTGGACTTGATTGTCGCAAACAGATCTATCTCTGGTTTTCCCCACTTTTGAAATATCTGTCGTGTTGCAGCCTCGGACAGATGCCAGTCCGCCATTGGTTTGTTTCGAGAGAGTCCGTCTGCAACATCGTTGTACTGCCCCGGTATATATTCGGCTAACAGCGTGATTTCCATACTGTGAGCCAAGGTGAAGAGCTGAAAGGTTAGATCCAACAAGATTTGTGATCTGGTTCCGCCTTCGTTTCTTATATAAGCGACTACAGTCCTGTTGTCCGACTGGATGAGAACCGTCTTTCCTTTCAGACTCAGAGAGAACTTCTGCACCGTTGCTAGAACAGCGTACATTTCTTTTCTGTTTATGTGCCAGAGTCTCTGGTTGGCAGACCAGGCTTCGCTGACAGATTTGTTCCCGACCTGGGCTCCCCATCCCGTATTTGAGGCGTCCGTTGTTATAAAAATCTCTGGATTCTTTGGAAATAACGGTCCTAATGTCCGCAAATTCTTCAGCCACCAGCGACACTCCCTGAGCACGATCAGAGGTACTGGATATTTTCTGTTTGGAAGTGATTCCGGTAGAGCCAAACTTGCTCTTTGAATATATCTCGAATGAAGACGGCCCAAGGGGATGATGAAGCTTGCAAAATTTAGCTTTCCTAAAAGTTTCCTCGATATCGTCCAGCTCCATTGACGAGTTTTGAGGACTGAACTCAGATATTTTGTTAGAGAATCTATTTTCCTCATCGGGAGAGCTTTTGTACTGTTTCCAGTATTCCAGACTATTCCTAGGAATTCTAAACTTCTTTGGGGCACTTCCAGTGATTTCTCTGCATTTATGAGCCATCCCAGACGATTCAACGTTTCCAAAATTAAGGTGTGATGGTCTTGCACTGTCTTGAAGTCTTGGTTTGCAAGAAGAAAATCGTCCAAGTA